CCATATGGGCGCCGGTTCTAATCCCGGCAGCCCCGCTTCCCTTCCAGCTCCCTGCTTGTGGCCTGGGAAAGCAGTCGAGGACTGCCCAAAGCTTTGGGAACCTGCACCCGCATGGGAGACCCGGAAGAGGCTCCTGGCTTCGGATCGGCATAGTATCGGCCCGTTGCGCTCACTTGGGGAGTGAATCATCGGATGGAAGATCTTCCTCTCTGTCTCTCCTCTCTGTATATCCGCCTTTCCAATGAAAAAAAAAAACAAAAAAAAACAAACAAAAAAAAAACAGGCATTTCTCTCCCGAGACTGAATCATTTGAAATGTCAGGATTTTTTTTTAAAGATTTATTTATTTTTATTGAAAGGTGGATATACAGAGAGGAGGAGAGACAGAGAGGAAGATCTTCCGTCCAATGATTCACTCCCCAAGTGGCCGCAATAGCTGGAGCTGAGCCAATCCCAAGCCAGGAGCCTGGAGTTCTTCCAGGCCTCCCACATGGGTGCAGGGTCCCAAGGATTCGGGCTGTCCTCAACTGCCTTTCCAGACCACAAGCAGAGAGCTGGATGGGAAGCAGGGCTGCCGGGATTAGGACCAGTGCCCATATGGGATCCCAGGTATGCAAGACGAGGACTTTAACCACTATGCCATCGCACCGGGCCCTCCATAGTGTTTTCAAAGGTGGCACTGCAGAAGGCACTACACTGTAACATCAGTCCTTCAAATACTGGGGTGTGTGTGTGGGGGGGTGTGTGTTTAAGTATCACCCTGTAAAGAATTGGAATTTTAAGAAATCAATCTTTTCCCACAGATAATTTGAGCATTATTCTAACATAAAATCATACTACAGACGTTGGTAATTAATGTGATTAGGACAATGAGCTCAGAGAATTCTGCCAATTACTATCACAGAATTACAGAGATTTCAAGATGGTAACTGAGGGCCCAGTATTCTGACACAGCCAGCATTCCACATTGGAGTTTAGATTTAAGTCTAGCTGCTGTTTCAGATCCAGCTCCCAGCTGCTGTGCCTGGAAGGTAGCTAATGATGACCCAAGGGCTTGGTTCCCTGCCACCCATGCTGCAGTCCCAGACGGCGTTTCCAGATCCTGGTTTCAGTCAGGCTCAGAACTGGCAGCTATTTGGGGAGTAAATAAATGGATGGACAATCTCATTCTGTCTTTCAAAGAAATAAATCTTTTTATTTTCTTTTTAAATATATATTTTTGTAATTTGGAAGGTCAGATTTACAGAGAGGAGGGAGAGAGAGAAAGATCTTCCAACCTCTGGTTCACTTCCCCCAAATAGCCCTGCAATGGCTGGAGCTGAGCTCCTATGCAAGTCCAGGGTCCCAAGGCTTTGGGCTGTGCTCTAATGTCTTTCCAGGCTACAAGCAAGGAGCTGGAAGGGAAGTGGAATAGCTGGGATACGCACCAGTATCCATATGTGATCCCAGAAAGTGCAAGGTTAGAATTTAGCTACTAGGCTATCATGCTGAGCCCTCAAATTTATAAATCTTTAAAAACAGGAACTGAGGGTAAGTTTTGGTCTAGTAAATAAAAAGATGCTCAGGATATCTGCAAGCTATAGCAAGCTCCTGGGTTTGAATTGTAGCTCCACTATCTAGTAATACTCTAGAAAACAGCAATAACAGCCCAAGTGCATTGTCCCTGCCACCCATATGGGAGCTCCAGACTGAGTTCCTGGCTCAGTTTTAACTTGTCTGCCCTAGCCCCAGCTACTGTTAAGAATCTGGGGATGGGCCCGGCGCGATGGCACAGTGGTTAAGGTCCTCGCCTTGCATGCCCGGGATCCCATATGGGCGCCAGTTCTAATCCCGGCAGCCCCACTTCCCTTCCAGCTCCCTGCCTGTGGCCCCGGAAAAGCAGTCGGGGACAGCCCAAAGCTTTGGGAACCTGCACCCGTGTGGGAGACCCGGAAGAGACTCCTTGCTTCGGATCGGCATAGCATCGGCCGTTGCGGTCACTTGGGGAGTGAATCATCGGATGGAAAATCTTCCTCTCTGTCTCTCCTCTCTGTGTATCCACCTTTCCAATAAAAATAATAAAATAAAATAAAAAAAGAATTTGGGGACTTAAATGGCAGAGAGATCTGTGTATACTTCTTTCTCTCTGCCTTTAAAAAAATTTAAATTTAAAAAAAATGGGAACTGAATTTTTTTTTTAAATTAAGATTTATTACATTAGGTCCCAGAACAATGGCCTAGTGGCTTAATCCTTATGCTGCACGTACTGGGATCCCATATGGGTGCTGGTTCGTGTACTGGCTGCTCCACTTCCCATCCAGCTCCCTGCTTGTGGCCTGGGAAAGCAGTCGAGGACGGCCCAAAGCCTTGGGACCCTGCACCCATGTGGGAGGCCTGGAGGAGGCTCCTGACTCCTGGCTTCAGATTGGCTCTGCTCCAACCACTGCAGCCACTCGGGCAGTAAACCAATGGACATAAGTGTCTCTATCTGTCCTTCTCTATAAATCTGCCTTCCCAATAAAAATAAATTAAAAAATAAAAGTAAAAAAAACCCATTTATTTCAAAGACAGTTACATACAGAGATGTGCTAATGGTTTACACCTCTGAAGGGTGTAATGTCTGGGCTGGATCAGGCAGAAGCCAGGAGCTTCTTCTATGTCTCTACTTGGGCGCCAGATCCCTAAGTACTTGCACATCTTCCACTGCTTTTTTCAGGCCAATAGCAGAGAACTGAATCAGAAGCGGAGTGCCCACAAACAGTGCCAGCAGGTGTCAGCTTTAATTGCCGCACCACAGTACTGGCTCTGGGAACTGAAATTTTATCACTGACTGACAAATTCAGAAGTCATTTTATTTAATTAAGACCATAAAGCAAGTTCACTGAAAGAAATGTTAAAAAAAAAAAAAAAGGAAAGCTAACATATACTGAGGGTCAAATTGTCTCTACAGTAGGCAATTTTAAATACATAAGTATTTATTCTTCACAAACATGATATTACGTATTAAACTTTACAGAGGAGCATATCAAAAATTTAGTCACTTGCCTAATATTATAGTTAATAAATATATATCTTAGTTCAATCTCCTGTGAGCTAAAAAGTCACACACACAAAAAGATTTTAGGGAAGGGAAAAAGGCTGGTAAACAGTAATAAAATACCTGAAGAATGACTCAGGTAGATAGCACAGTATTACAGATAAAGTCCTTGTATGTATCCATACAAGCTAAATGGGAAGAAATACAATGTTTATTTATCTATTTTTAATTCCAAAGGTATGTGTGTATGCAGGTGTACACACACACACACACTATTCCCTGGAAGATGGGATGAAATCACTTCTGGGGTTTTCACTTTCCCCTTATATACAAAATGAGACATATGGGAACAGGGGCAGAGACAGATGGCATTCTTTCCCTGGTCATTAAGTTCAGCACAAATGACTTTTGCTTTATAATAGCTCTTGTCAAATAAGCTGCAAGAGGTTTATGAGTCACATGCTCTTCCTATAACTCAATTTTTTCTTTTACAGAAACAGCAATGTTCACAGTGAGCACCTTACAGCCTTAGGCCCAGGCCAGCCACATGGACCTGATGCTGTACTTCTGGTAAACAACAAAAAGGCAAACCGAAGACAAGGATGGGGCACAACTGTGTGCAAGATTATGCATGCCACAGTGACCAGCAAGTGACTTGTCTTAATGCTTTCTTTTTTTAAAAAGGATTTATTTTTTTAATTGGAAAGTTAGATATACAGAGAAGGAGTGACAGAAAGAAAGATCTTCCACCCGCTGGCTCACTCCCCAAGTGGCCACAACGGCTGGAGATGAGCCAATCTGAAGTCAGAAGCCCTGAGCTTCCTACTGGTCTCCCAGATGAGTGCAGGATCCCAAGGCTTTGGGCTGTGCTCTAATGTCTTTCCAGGCTACAAGCAGGAAGCTGGAAGAGAAGTGGAGTAGCCAGTATACAAACCAGCACCCATATAGGATCCTGGCATATGCAGGGCAAGGACTTTAGCCACTAGGCTATCATGCCGGGCCCTAGTGCTTAGTTTTTTCCCTAAGAAAAAAAAAAATCACAGGAACAGGCATGACGCAACCAGGTAAGCCAACACCTGGAACTCTCACATCTCATACTAGAGTGCAAGCAAGTTTACATCCAGGCTACTCTGCTTCCACTCCTGCTAATGTGCCTGGGAGGCAACAGACAACAGCCCAAACGGGGAGATTCCTGCCTCCCATATGCGAGATCCAGACAGAGTTCTTCACTCCTGCCTTCGGTCCAGCCCAATCCCAGCTCTGGTGGGCTTCTCAGCAGATGAGGTATCTTTCTCTCTTTCCTTCTCTGTCACTCTGCCTTTCAAATATATACATAAATCTTCAAAAAAAAAAAAAAAAAACCAAAAATATAATAAGTGCCAAGACAGTTTCTTCCAATGACTTTCGAGGGAGCTAAATGTTTTACCCTGAAGCTGGACATAATTTTAAAGTTTTTCCTCCCCTGGTTTGAAATACCCTATTACCCACTGTGCAACCAAGAAGCATGCTACCATTCTCTAGGCAAATAAAAATAAAATACCTATAAAATAAAAATATACCTATAAAAAATAAATACCAAATAAAAAATACCTATAGTTACCACAGGTAACTAGGTCTTCAAGAACAGTCAGCAAAGTCACCTTGCTCAAGTCAACAGAGGAGCTATGTGCGTCTGAACTAAATATAGGATTATTTTCTGAACATATAATTTCCATTATGTCTATATCAGAAGTTAAAGCAGATGCAGTAATTGTTAACATGCCCGAGTGAAAACTGTACAAATGCTCTGTAGAAAAAAAAAAAAAAACAGCATGCAAAACAATTCCTATAATATAATCAATAGTCAGGAGGAGTTAATACTCAGGACTCTGAAATAAAATTCTGAGAAGCAAGCTACATTCTTAGGATGGGCATGTCCAATCCATGCCACCCCATCCAGCTGCTATGCTGTCACAAAAATAGTACTTCCATCCCACCTACCTTACCTTTCTGGAGATTGAGGAGACATTCAAACCAAATCTTTGAGCTCTTTCCTTTAATTTATCCAAATTAACCTACAAAATAGAAGGAAAAATGTACTTTAAAAAAAAAAAAAGCAGAAAAAGAGAGGAAAAAGAGGTAGTAGCAATGATTCAATGCTAAAAATATCTTGTGTGACAAATTAGGAACCGAAGTACCTTCTACCCAATCTACTTGTAGAATGCAGTAATAGATTCAGCCCTGCTCCTTCACTCATTGAAGCAGTTACCAAAGGAGGCAAAAATCTTGTTTAAAAAAAACCAACATGTACACATAATTTCTTCCAATTAAGTATATCATCTACAGTCCAAAATCACTAATTCCTACATGTGATTTTCAATCCCATCTTCAAGCAAAGGAGAAACGCGAGGTGCTCAGCAGCCCCAGGGCTGAGAGTGAGGTGCTGGATACTGATGGTTTGCTCTACATGACAATCTGGTACTGAAAGTGTATTTGGCAGCATCAGCCCTTGTTTATTTTTTATAACAAAGTCAGATATACAGAGAGGAAGAGAGACAGAGAGGACAATCTTCCGTCTGATGATTCATTCCCCAAGTGAGCGCAACGGCTGGTTCTGTGCCGATCCAAAGCCAGAAGCCAGGAAATTCCTCGAGGTTTCCCACAGGGGTGCAGGGTCCCAAAGCATTGGACCGTCCTTGACTGCTTTCCCAGGTCTCAAGCAGGGATGTGGACGGGAAGCAGGGCTGCTGGGATTAGAACTGGTGCCCATATGGGATCCCGGCTAACTCAAGGCAAGGACTTTAACCACTAGGCCACGCCGCCGGGCCCAGCATCAGCCCTTTTTGGCTCATCTCTTCCCCCAACAGCAGGACCCCAGGTACCTTGAAGGGTACCTGACCTTGAAGGGTAAAACTGGATCACAGATAACCACTGACAGCTCCCTTAAAAAGGTCACCATGTCCTTTTGTCCCCAGAAATACCTTTAAAACCTGCCTTGGAAACATTTTTCTACTCTCATTTCTCTTCTGGATCACCTTAGTACTCTGCATGCTCTCCTTGACCTAAGTGCCATGCTCCCTCGGCCTCACCCTGAGTTTCCTGTTCCATCTCTTGGCCTTTCCCATCCTAAGATGGCTTCCCTACTGCCTGCCCCAGGACATGGCACTTCTCTATTATGGTCCTGCAAACTCCCACCCCTCTGGATCCTTTATCTTGTTTTAACATGCCCAATACTGGTCACCTAAGCACTGGGACAGTGTCCTCCCACTCTCTCACAATAGCTTTAGCACTCAAAAAGGAGTTTGTAAGTCACTGCTGAAATGAATACATGAATGGAAAGCTTGTCTCTTTCTACATCTTCAGAGCTTAACAGTGTGTTGTTTTCTGATACAAGGATTGAAAATTCTGGTGGCTTTATTGTATTTGAAAGAGCAACAATCTAAAGGAGTTAAAATGCTTTAACTCACAGCACAAATTTTTATTAAGGGCTTTTCCTGTCACCAGCAGAGCAAGTAACACATTATAAATAATGTAATCAAGAGTGGGTATTACAGAGAAGCGGTGAAAAGTCAGCAAACATTATATGCTATAATCACATCTCAAAGCACCACTGTTACAAGCCATATAACAGAATAAGGAATAGTTTCACTATACAAAAACACAATTTCTAAGATTCACCCTAGCAAAATTACACCTAGGCATGTAACTTTGATGTAGATGTTTACAGTAACACTGCTGTATGCAATATAAAAAAAAGAAAATGTTCTTTCTCTAAATTTAATAAAAGCCTAAATGATGACAAATTCCAAACAAAGCAGTAAAGCCTCTTCACTCCTTTTTATCTGGAAGCTTTGGTATATATAAAACTTGCTGTCATAAATGTGTTTCGGGCAGGCCCGGGAAATCAGCTTAATGGTTAAACAACCTCCATGCAAACGCTGGGATCTCTTATGGGCCATATCATGCCCTGGTTACTCTACTTCCCACCTAGCTCCCTGATTGTGGCCTGGGAAAGCACTGGAGAATGGCTCAAGTCCTTGGGACCCTGTACCTGCGTGGGAAGCTCCTGGCTCCTGGTTGTGGATCAGCTCAGCTCCAACCGTTGCAGCCACTTGGGGAATGAACCAGAAGATAAAAGATCTTTCTGTCAATAAACATGCCTTTCCAGGGCTGGCGCAGTGGCCTAGCAGCTAAAATCCTTGCCTTGAATGCGCCAGGATTAAATAGGGCACCAGTTCTAATTCCGGCAGCACCACTTCTTATCCAGCTCCCCGCTTGTGGCATGAAAAAGCAGTTCAGGATGGCCCAAAGCCTTGGGACCCTGCACCCAAGTGGGAGATCTGAAAGAAGTTCCTGGGTCCTGGCTTCGGATCAGCACAGACCAGATATTGCGGTCACTTGAGGAGTAAATCATTGGATGGAAGATTTTTTCTCCCCATCTCTATACGTGCCTTTTCAATAAAAATAAATCTTTAAAAAAAAGTCACAGTTTCCTAGCCATCAATATATATATATATATTTCATTTTATTTATTTATTGGAAAGTCAGATATACAGAGAGGAGGAGAGACAGAGAGGAAGATCTTCCGTCCAATGATTCACTCCCCAAGTGAGCACAACAGGCCGATGCTATGCCGATCCGAAGCCAGGATCCAGGAACCTCCTCCAGGTCTGCCACGCAGGTGCAGGATCCCAGGCTTTTGGCCGTCCCCGACTGCTTTCCCAGGCCACAAGCAGGGAGCTAGATGGGAAGTGGAGCTGCGGGCATTAGAACTGGCACCCATATGGGATCCCAGCGTGTTCAAGGTGAGGACTTTAGCTGCTTGGCCACGCCACCGGGCCCATAGCCATCAATATTAAAAAAAATAATAAAATAAATGTGCCTTTCAAAGAAAATATTTTTAAGAGACTTATTTACTTTTATTGGAGAGGCAGATTCATAGAGAAAGAGATAGAGATCTTCCATCTGATGGTTCACTCCCCAAATGACCACAATGGCAGTAACTGAGCCAACCCAGGTCTCCCATACGGGTGCAGAGTCCCAAGGCTTTCCCAGGCCATAAGCAGGGAGCTAGACAGGAAGTAGAGCAGCCAGAATATAAGCCAGCGCCTGTATGGGATCCCAGAACTTACAAGGTGATAATTTAGCCATTGAGCCATTGTGCCAGGCCCCAACACTTAGGATTTCATAAAGCTGAATTGCATGAGGGTACTTCATTAAAGTTCACAGAAAACAGAATTAAGAGCTATGTTTATTGTGGTTCAAAATATTTTGAAATCAATGTTTTTTTCTCCCCCAAGGCATTTTTTCTTAAACATACATTTTCTCATAAATATTTCCCGTAATTCCACAACATTTTTTTACACTTTTTAATTACTGGTCCAGAGGGCCAGTCTTAAATTATTCGTTACCCTCATTTAAAATTTAATAGGCAGAATTTAAAAACAGCAACATTAAGGCTGGTGTTGTGACACAGCAGGTAGCACCACTGCCTGTGACACACACATCCCATGTAGACGCTGATCGTGTCCTAGCTGTTTCACTTCTGATCAGCTCCCTGCTGGTGGTCTGGGAAGTACCTCCATCTCTGCTACCCACACAGAGACCCCAAGGAAGCTCCTGGCTTCTGCCTGGTCTAGGCGTGGCAAATGCAACAGTCATCTGGGAAGTGAATTAGTGAATGGAAGATTTCTGTCTCTACCTCTCGGCAATTTCTTTCCAAATAGATAAATCTTTATTCAAAACAAAACAAAACAAAATCTCCCAAAAAATATCCACAAGCAGAATTTATAAGCTTCCTCCAGATTCTCTTAGTAATTAATAATTATACATTAACTAAAGCAAACAAGCCAGATCTAAAACTGTACCATAAGAATGGTTATATGGGGCCTGGCACAATAGCCTACTAGCTAAAGTCCTGGCCTTGCACGCACCAGGATTCCAGATGGGTGCTAATTCATATCCTGGCTGCTCCACTTCCCTTCCAGCTTCCTGCTTGAGGCCTGGGAAAGCAGTCGAGCACACCCCAAAGCCTTGGGATCCAGCACCCACGTGGGGGACTCGGAAGAAACTCAGCTCAGCTGACCTTTGGGGTTCTTTGGGGAGTAAATCAGCAGATGGAGGATCTTTCTCTCTGTAAATCCTACTTTCTGTAAATTGGACTTTCCAATCAAAATAAACAAATCTAAAAAAAAAAAAAAAAGATATATGAATTGCTCCCTAACAACGCTATACAGTTTTTCAAAATAGGTGTGGCACAAAGACAAATATTTACCATTAATTTTCGAATATGTAATTTTCCTGACATTTTAGTACCTGAAACAATTTAAAAATTCAAGACATGTAACACTATACCACAAACAGTTAGCAAGCTCATGATCTCAGAATTTCTTCTGATGTAAGGAAGAGTCTCTGACTTTAAAATACACTTATGAAAAAAATAAATAAATAAAAAATAAAATACATTTATGACCTGACTCTGCAAAGGACAAAAGAAGATTACTTACTGAAGGCTTGATGTCAGATGTCAGACCTAAGGAAGCAAATAAAAACTTCTTTTAAATATTTCTAGAACTCATAGAAAAAAGTCAAAGAGTCTTCAAATCAAATTAGGCAGCCTAAAGATGGTACAAAGGATAAATGTCTTACCTGACAGGGAGAAGGAAAAGACAAAAATTACAAATACAGGCTCAACCCTAATGTACTCAATAAATATTCCAAACTATTCAAATGCCCAACAATCAGGGCTGGCCTAGGCCAAAGCCAGAATTCTACAAGCCAATCTGGATCTCCCACATGGGTGGCAGGGACTCAAGTACTTAAGCCATTTCTTGCTGCCTTCCAGGATTCACACTAGCAGAATGATGGACCAGAAGTGGAGCCAGGGGCCTGGTGTGGTAGCTTAGTGGCTGAAGTCCTCGCCTTGCATGCACCAGGATCCCATATGGGTACCGCACCTAATCCTGGCGGCCCACTTTCCGTCCAGCTTCCTGCTGTGGCCTGGGAAAACAGTTCAGGATGGCCCAAAGCTTTGGGACCCTACACCCATGTGGGAGACCTGGAAGAGGCTCTCGGCTCCTAGCTTCAGATCGGCGCAGCACCAGCCATTGTGGTTGCTTGGGGAGTAAATTATTGAACGGAAAATCTTCCTCTCTCTCTCTCTCTCTCTTCCTCTCTGTATATCTGACTTCGCAATACACATATACATATATACACAAACACATACATATATATACATATACATAGATACTTTAAAAAAAAAAATCTGGGACTGACACTGTGTTAAGGTGCTCCTCATACAGTCATTCTAAGTTAGAGTGCTACTTGAAAGCCCTGTTAAGTTTGCAACCCAGCTTTCTGCTACTACATGACATGAAAGCAGCAGGTGACTGCTCCAGTACCTGGGCCCCTCCCCCTCATGGGGGAGAGTAGGATAGTTTCTGGTTTTCTCCTGGCCCAGATGTGATTAGGAAAGTGAACCAGGAGACATAAGATCTCTTTCTGGCATTCTACTTTCAAATAAATAAAGCTTCTATCTGTAATGCCAGTATTCTACAATAGAGCACTAGTCTGAGTCCCAGCTGCACATGCTCGGGTCCCAGGCAGGTAGAGGGTAGGGTCTAGGGTGGGCAAACAGGGCTCCATGCCAGCATGCCATCCCGCAAGTGGATGGCTGGGGAACTCCTGTGCTCGTGGGCTGAAGCTGTAATTGTTCAAGGAAGGGAGTGCAGGATGTGTGGAAGGGGACACCGCAGAGGGAATATGCTGAGGGAGTAGGAGGGAGTGACTTCTGGGAGATCTTCACTGACAGAGACACTGTATTTACAGGAAAACACAGAGGTTTAGACGGAGTGATTTTGAGGAGAGAAACTGAAGGACCTTTCTGGGTCAGACCAATGCACTTGCCCACACAGAAGACCTGAATGGATCACTGCTGACCACCACATACCGATGCACACAAAAGCTAGGACTGAGGGCCTGCCTGGCAAGACTAGACCACAGTACCACCAGTGAAATGTTGGAACAAGGGACAGGTAATGTCAGGCTAGGCCATGACACTAGCCAGAATGCAAGAGAACCAGATCTCAGGGCAGATTCGATGGGGGATATGTGGGATCATCCGTGAGACCATAATATCCACTGCTTTGCTCGGGAGCTGGGGGTGGGGATGGGCCAAATTAGGCATGACCATGGAATTCACCAATGCTCATGGGTACTGGGGTTGGGAATAGGCCAGGTTGATCCAGACTGCAGCACCCAAAGGCTTACCTAAGAATTGGGTGTGAGGTGGGCTCGGCAGCAACATCTACCAGTATACACAAAGGCCAAGACTGGGCAGGGAGGGTGGACTAAGCGAGGTAAGGCCTAGCACCCACTGGCATGCGTGAGATCTGAATTTGATAGTGGGCCTGGTAGGGGAAATTGGGGAACTCCCCTGATAAAACATAACTCCTGATGAGCGTGTGAGTCAGGACTAGGTGTTGCGAAATCCTGGCAAGGCTATTTCACTTACTGCCTGGTGTGTGGATTGGCTCTGGGCGGAGAGAAGCTGACCAAACTACAGCACGCTGGCATACACAGGAGCCAAGATGGGGTGCAGGCCATGCCAAGTTAGGCTAGGCTATTAAACCTACTTGACTGCATGAAAGCCAGGGAAGGAGGCAGACTGGGTAGGGTTGCTGCAGCACCTATCAGTTAAGAGTTGGAACTGAGGATAGGCCGGGTCAGGCCAAGCTACAGCATCCAAAGACAAAGGCCAAGCTGGGGGATGTGCTACACCAAGCCGGTTAGAGCATCCACCAGCATATGCAAGATTTGAGGCTGGGAGCTAGCTGGCCCAGGAGCTAAGGGAATGCCTTGGCTGCAATGCAGTTCCCACTGGGACATGTGAGAGCCAGAAAGGGGTGGTGAACTGGATTGGATGTGGCTGCAACATCCCTTGGTATGGGCTCGGACTGCATCTCAGGTATGCCAGACTGGACTAGGCTCCAGCACCCACTGGTTTTTGCAGGAGCCAAAGTAGGTGAAGGCTAAGATTTGGCACGCAATGAACCACACGAGAGCTGGATCTGCAGGTGGACAAGGTGGAACTGGGCTGTAGCAACCAACAGCAAGAGCAAAGAATGCGTATGGGCTAGCCAGGCAAGGTAGTTGTTGTACAGCCAGGATGAGAGGGGGGCCAAGTCAGGCTGGGCCAAGATCCCACTACTATGTGTGAGATCTGACACTGGGAGTTGACTTGATAGAGGAGCTTGGGGAACGCATCTGTCAGGATGCGGTCAATGCAGATGGGCACAAGAACTAAGGCTAGGAGCAGTCCAGACCAAGCCAGGTTACTGTTCCTGCCAGCCTATGTGTGGGTCAGGTCTGTGGGTGAGCCATGCTGGGGCAATTCATAACACCCACTGGCAGATGTGAGAACCAGGACCGAGTGAGGGACAGGCTGAACCGGGCTTCAACAACTGGTAGCCTACATTAGGGCCAGGACTGGGAGCTGGCTCGGTTGGGCTAGGGTGTAGCACCTGACAGCACAAGCTGGAACTGGGGGCACAATGCCCTGAGCCAGGCTGTAGCACTGGTAGGCAAATGCTAAGGTGCCAAGATCAGGTGGGCCATGCTGGAATGAACTGTAGCACCGACCATCACCGATAAGAGCCTGAGGGGTTGAAGAGGTAAACCTGGTAGGGGAATTGTAGCAGGGCTCCACTGCTGGGCCCTACTGGTAAGCATGAAAGCTGGGACTCAGGGCAGACTAGCCTGGGTAGGGCTACAAAACCCTTTGGCCTGCATGTGAGCTGGGTTAATTGGAGAGTCAGAGTGCAGGCTGGTCGGGCTTTGCTGCAGTGCTACCTAGTAAGTGCCAAGACTTACCAGGTAAGACCCGGGACTGGCAGTGGGCCTAGCAGGGAAACTGGACACCTCTCTGATGGGCTTCAGCTCCCACTGATGAGCATGAGAACCAGGATTGGCAGCAGGTGAACAAGATTTAGCACCTGCCAACATAAGTGTGCGTTGGATAATAGAGTGGCTTGGGCTGAGCAAAGTTGTTGCACCCACTGGTGTGTATGAGAGCTGAACGGGATGTAGGACAGACAGGACAAGTTTGCTGCACATACTGGCATGCGCAGAAACTGGGGCTAGGGTGGGCCAGGTGAGGATGACTCCATTCCGACTAAGCTGCATGCGGTATATGTGAGGGATGAGTGTGTGGTGGGCAGGGTTGGGTTAGACTACAACATCCGCTGTTTTGTGCATGAGATGGGGCTGGGAACAGAACTGATCAGGCAACTACAACTAGTGTGTGTGTAGGCTGATGTGGGTGATGGACTAAGCTGGACCTCGCACTGGCTGGCACACACAGGATTCAAGTCTGGGGTTACTTCTGGCTAGGTTTCCTTGGAGGGCCCCCAACTGGGTCACTGGACTCAAAATCCCAACCTCTGGGAAAAATAACAGGATATGCTATTTGACTGGGAGTGCATGTGTCAGAAATGGGCCTCCTCGGTTATTGAAGTCTGTGCAGTGGACGGCATGCCTGATACACATGAGCATCATGACAGACCACTGCAGCCTATAAAGCATGTCTAGTACCATGGAGGGCAGAACAAACTGGGCAACTCCGCCAGCTAAGTTTTTTGACACTGAGTATCTGAGCGAATAGAGACTCTAAGGTGGACTATATCAGCCAATGGACATTGCAAGGATTTCATCAACCTTAAAGCAACAAAGTCAACAGCATCTCAAAACTATCAAAACTGTGCCTGGCACGATAGCGTAGTGGTTAAGGTCCTCACCTTGCACTCCCAGGACCCCACATGGGTGCCGGTTCTAATACCGGCAGCCCTGCTTCCCATCCAGCTCCCTGCTTGTGGCCTGGGAAGGCAGTCAAGGACGGCCCAAAGCTTTGGGACCCTGCACCCACATGGGAGACCTGGAAGAAGATCCTGGCTCCTGGCTTCGGACTGGCTCATCTCCAGCCATTGCAGCTGCTTGGGAAGTGAATCATCAGACAGAAGATCTTCCTCTCTGTCTCTCCTCCTCTCTGTATATCTGACTTTGCAATAAATCTTCTTAAAAATATATAAAAAGATGCTCAAGAAAAGAATGAAAAATATTGACACTTCTTCCTATACTCTCATACTTCAGAATATTTTCTAAATTGCTCAAAAGCCTTAAGAATTACTTTTACCTAAAGCAAACATGTGAATACTATGCTACTAAGGGCTTCCAAAACTAAAAAGCTTGTCCTAATCTGGAGAAATGAAATCCATTCTGTCATAAAAGAAAGAATACAAAGAGAACTATCTTAAAAGTCTTTTCTCTTACCTTTTGTTGGAACCGAAGAAATCCCAAACCTGTAGAAAGAAAAACAAGCTTCATCTTAGGAAGCTGTTAACACTCCTGGTTGTCCATCTCCGTGTCAAGTGTACACATGACACTTCTTGCCTGTGATCTCCAGCCTTGCGATCATTAGCTAATTCTAACAACCTCATGAAAGAAGTTCAGTGCACTCTCCTCACAAGTCCACACAGCAAACTAAACGGAATCAGGAGTAGTAGTTAGTCTCTGGCTTTCACAAAGCACAAAAAAGATCTTTTCAATAATTACGCCAGTCTAGAGCTACTGCATCCAAATCAGCAGATATCCTGAGTCTGGCCAATAGAGTTCACCTCCTAAGAGCGAGGTTTACAACATACTGAAAACTTTTACATATATACATATAATACATACAAAACCTGGGATCACATTTCTTCACCTCCATTACTACCATTATTTGAGGTTCAAGCCTAGACACACTCACCTAGCTGCCCGAGCAGCTTTCTTACTCTCCAAGCTTACAGGTACATTGAATCGTTCAGCTCTCTTCTGCATTCTCTACATGACAACAGATGAAAAAGAAAGGGGAGAAAATTCAATTTCTGGGTTTTTTTTGTTTAAGTTGGTTAGATAGGTATCTTAAGAAAAATGTTTTCAGGTTTGAAATGACAGTCCTCAAGGAATGCTGGTTGTATGGATCCCAGAGCTTCATTTGACAGCCTTCTCCAGAAAGCAAACACAAAGCAACCATTATTACATTCATGCCCTCCAAGACAAAAGGGTGGAATAAAATAAATAAAACCCACATTCTGCATGAAGTCAAGAAGACAAAAGCTGTATGTGGTTGATTTTTGGAAAGGGATCAAAGGAACAGCTTCGTTCCAACAGTAACAGTACTCTAATAGCTAGAAACTAGGCATTCTAAGAGTTTAAGAGTACCTTTACTTTGAAGGTACAAAACAAAATACAAGATATCAGCTGGCTCTTTTTGTCAGAGATGCTTAAGACAAAACACAGAGAAATTTCAATCTCACTTCTTATCAACTATCAATGTAATAATAGCATCTTCCCTTGTTACTTTTTCAAGGTATACTCCTCCTGAATTTTAATGCTAGGCTTGTAAATATTTTAGAATTATCAATAAGACTACAGTATTACATACAAAGAGGACTGTCGTTTCACACTATACCAGCCCAATATTTTTCCAAGAGTAGTTGGGGGAAAAGGTACTAACACTAAAATCTGTGTATGTAATAACTTTCTGACTATGGTTATTAAATTTTAAAATGACGAGTCCTTGAGTAAATAAAAAAGGACAAAAACCAGAGAAACATCAAGATTGTTTTTCTACTAAGGAACAGAATACCTACCTCAGTTTGTGGTAGTTCAGATGTAATTTTTACCACTTTCTTTTCTGCTGCCCTGGAAAAGATGATTTAAAAAAAATTAGAAAACTAACACTCCAAACAAAAACCTTGGACAAGCATAAGTGGCCTGAGTCACACCCTCTGTCCTATTTCTCTCTGCCATACCTCAGTCCCAAGAAACCTGAATTTCATTAGAGCTTCAATTCCTTGAGCTAGTATCTATTAGAACAAAGAGTTCAAGCTACTTGAGCTAAAATCTAAAAAAGTAATTAGAAACACTCTAGTTAAATACAGTGAGCTGAAGGGAAATTATCTCATTTACTTTTAGGAACTTTAAACTTACTTTTGAACTAATGATTATCCTTCCAACTCTCATTTAAATACAACCTCTCAATTTTCATCACAACACTAATTAATGAGTACTTTATAAGCCCTGTTTTCTTCCTTTCACAAATCCTTATTCCTCCCTTGGGATCTGCAGTTCCAGCTACAAAGTCAGCATGGAACAAATAAAAATGCCAAAGGAGGTGGGAAGAAAAAAGGCTAAAGGAAATTTGAATTAGGAAAACATGGTCAGTTACTGGTCAAAAGGTTTAAAAGAAAACAAAAGAGGGGGACCATAGGGGCGGGAGACAAAGTTCGGAAGTGTCCAGGATAAATGGAAGGGTATTAACCCTCCACCAAACAACTCCCATAAAACTGTGGGTCATAACCAGTCTCATTAAGGTCCCTCATTTAGAGACATGGGCGGCTTTTGTTCCAATAACCCAGACACTTTTCCCATTTGATGCCCTGAAAGGTAGTAATGGTTTAATGACATTTTCAGAGGAAGCAATTCTGGAACAGGAACTTAACTCTCCCCTCCATCCTTTTGTTGGGGGTTCCAGGACCAACAGATGAGCAATGGGTGCCCCCTGCTGACCACAACTAGATCCTACAGTATTCAACTGCCTTGGGCAAAGGAGGGAGGAAAAAGCGAAAAACAAAACAGAAGTGTATTTTTGAGAATCTCAATCTAAGGATGAAACCAAAGGGTTTCCTTCTGAATATTCAAGGACATAAATCAGTCTTGAATACTATTTTTATGAAAGTTTTTCTTCCACTTTCCAACATCCTTCCTCAATCTTCTCTGCCTTGTTTAGGGGCGTCACACACACGTCTAATGTTTCACCTGAAGGCCAATGCCATTAAGACAGTTCTTTCCACCAACCCCATGCTATTGGCTTTTTTGACATTCCCGCCCTGAAGTACAATCACTGTAGCAAATCTCATGGTAGAAAGTGAATCCCTGAAAGGAAATCTTCCTTTATGCCATCCCAATCCCCTTACGTAAAATAAAATGCAAGTAATAAACATCACATTCTAGGATTCACAGGACCATTTCTACCTGTCCCTGAAAAATTTCTCTGCCACCCAAAGTCACACACAAAACAAACAGGCACTCAGACTCGTTCTGTATACACCTTACCCCAACTATTCTACGGATAATGAACTTGCATAAAAACGTTCAGATTTTCTTGACTTTTAACCCAAACAAACTAATTACTTTACCCAACTGAACGTTTCTCCTCTGCCAGAATCCCCCCAAGACATCTCTATTTTAAAACTATCCCACTTACGTCATTTTCTCAAAGCACTGCATCTAACCATAAACTTCCTGCAATGGAAAGCTACCTAAATATCTTTAGAAAAGTAATACTTGGAGGCTGGCACAATGGCACAGCAAGATAATCATCCATCCATGGTGCGAGTAACCCATATCACTGCCAATTTGTGTTCCAGCTGCTCCACTTCCAATCCAGTTCCCACCTTATGGCCTGAGAAAACAGTAAAGGATGGTTCAAGTCCACGGGATCCCATATCCATATGACAGACTGAAACAGCTCCCAGCTCCTGGCTTCAGAGCAGCGGGTCAGTTACGGCCATTGTGGCCATTCGGGGAGTGAATCATCAGATGGAAGATCTCTTTCTCTCTCTCTCCTGTCTATAAATGTACCTTTCCAATAAAAATAAATACTTTTTAAAAAGATTTATTTATTTTTATTGGAAGGGCAGATATACAAAGAGGAGACACAAAAACCTTCCATCCACTGGTTTCACACTCCGAATGGCTGCAATGACTGAAGCTAATCTGCTTTGAAATCAGGAGCTTCAACCGGGTCTCCCAGAGGGTGCAGGGTCTGTCCTCTGCTGCTTTCCCAGGCCACAAGCAGAGAGCTAGATGGGAAGTGGAGCATCTGGGACATGAACCAACATCCATATGGGCTCCAACACATTCAAGATGAGGATTTAGTCACTAGGCTATAGTACTTGGCCCATAAAAATAAATCTTTTTTTAATATCTTTTTTTAAAATTTATTTATTTGTTTTTATTGGAAGGCTGGATATACAGAGAGAAGAGACAGAGAGGAAGATCTTCCATCTGATGATTCACTCCCCAAGCAGCTGCAATGGCTGGAGATGAGCCAATTCGAAGCCAGGAGCCAGGATCTTCTTCCAGGTCTCCCACGCGGGTGCAGAGTCCCAAAGCTTTGGGCCGTCCTCAACTGCTTTTTCATGCCACAGCAGGGAGCTGGATGAGAAGTGGAGTGGTCGGTATTAGAATGGGCACCCATATGGGATCCTGGCACATTCAAGGAGAGACCTTAACCACTACGCTATTGCGCTGGGTCCATTAAAAAAAATTACTGTCATGTATTTAACAAGTTTTAAAAAAGAGCTGTATTTGACAAAATCTCACAGAATGTTAAATGTACAACCTCTGGACTGGCATTTGGGTGCAGTGGGTTAAGCCTCTGCTCACAATGCAGGATCCCATATGAACACTGGTTAAATCCTAGCTGCTCTCAATCTGGATTTAGTTCCCTGGTGATGCACCTACAAAGGCTGTAAAGAATGGTCCTAGTGTTTTGGACCCCTGCCAGAGACCCAGAGAATTCTCGGTTCCTGGCTTCGGCCTAGCTCTGCCCCAGGTATTGTGGCCATTTGGAGAGTGAACCAAGGATGGATCTCACATGTGTTCACACACTTTCCATAATTCTGCCTTTCAAATAAATAAATCTTAAAAGAAAAAATTGCACATCCTCTGTGATACAGCAAATCCACCGCTAAGAATCTGTTCCATGGGGCCAGCATTGTGGCATAGTGGGTAAAACTGCCATCTGCAACACCAACATTCCACATAGGCACTAGTTCCTAACCCAGCTGCTCCACTTCCGATCCAGCTCCTGGCTAACAATCTAGGAAAACAGAAGATGGCTCAAATGTTCAGTGTTCTGGTACCCACATGGGAGATCCAAAAGAAGCTCCTGGCTTCGACCTTGCCCTCCAGGCCACTATGGAATGAACCAACTGCAGTGAAGCCATTGTAGTCACCTGGGATGGGTGGAGGAGCTACATCTCCCTTACTCCCTAATTGACTTGCAAATAAATAAATAAATGGATGGATGGATCCTGGTAATAAAAAAAAAAAATCTGTTCCATGAACAAGGAAATGGAGTACTGCATTTTTTTTTGCTTTCATGAATAATCTAAATGCCCATCAATCAAAGATCAATAAAATAAATTACTGCTTATTTGCAGAACAGAGTATATTAGTTGTAAGAAAGAATAATATTCTAAGCTGGTAATTACCAAATCTGGGTGATGGATGCATGAGAGTCTATTACACTGTTCTCAAAGCTTTTTGTAACATGCTTGAATTTTTCTGTAATAACAAGCTAAACCAAAGACTTAATACTTACTAAGCATACCTAGTTATAAGGCTGATGGAAGAATTAAATGAAAATATGTGCAAAACACTTATAATTCTATCTAGCATACAATATTTAAACACGGATATGATGGTGATATAGAAAGCTCTCCAGATGGGGCTGTTACTATGGCGCAGCACCAAATTAAGCATCCATGTGCAACATCAGCATTCCACATTAGAGCACTGCTCAAAGGTCCTACTGTTCAGCTTCCAACCCAGTTTGCTACTTATGTATCTGGGAAGGCAGTGGAAGATGACACAAATGTTTGGGCCCCTATACCCACATAGGAAATCCATATGGATAGCCTAGTAGCTAAATCCTCACCTTGCATCCACCGGGATCCTATATGAGCGCCGGTTCATATCCCAGATGTTTCACTTCCTTTCCAGCTCCCTACCTGTGGCCAGAGAAAGCAGTAGAGGATGGTCCAAGACTTTGTGACCCTGCACCCATGTGGTAGACTCGGAAGAAACTCCTGGCTCCTACCTTTGGACTGGCTCAGATCCAGCCATTGTGGCCACTTGGGGAGTGAACCAGCAGACAAAAGATCTTTTTCCTCCGTCTCTCCTCCCTGTATATCTGCCTTTCCAATAAAAAACAAACCTTTAAAAATATACATATATATGATCCAACAGAAATGAAAAGGCCAGCGGGAATGTAAAAGAGGTAAAGAGTAAAACATTGAACCTAACAAAAGCAGATCTGCTCTATACTTAGATGATTAAAAAAAAAAAAACAGGAATAATTACACATCAACGCTTTTTTCAGGGGGTTCTTCTTCCTTGACAGGCAGTTCTATTGGCTTTGGTTCTTCTTCCTAAAATTCAATGAAACAAAATGGCTAACATAAAGTAACAGTATATGCCCAAAAGAGTATCAGAACCCCCAAAATTACTCCGTTTCTGAGATTCTTAATTCCCCTGGTTATGCTCCCTTAAATTAGCATCTAAGACCTGCATTGATTGACTTTAAACCATGTGGCCAAGGGAGAACATTATCAAGTCAGTGACTAACTTCACTCTCTCCAACTCACCTCTGTTTCATCTCCCAGTACATCTTCTTCATTTGCCTCCTCTTCAGCTAAAGAATATTAAAATATTCAAGTCAAGCCCTGCTACAAAACCATCTTGATCACTATACTGAAGTTAAAATTATAATCATTTTGCTTTCCCAAAAATAAAATTTAGTATTTAAGGCATAACTGATTTAAAAGATGATTTAAAACTGATTTAAAAAGACATCATCCATTGGCTTGGTCTCCATGCTATACTACTCTAGAGTATTTATCCAGTTATGTGCCACCTAATATTTCAGGAGTGATGACCTACATAATACAACAGCTGCCCCATAAGAATGTACATATAGCCTAGTGACACCACACCTGACTTTGTATCAGTACACTCTGATGTTCCTGCAAAGCAAACTGCCTAGTGGCACAGTTTTCAGAATCAGGCCCTATCACTAAGTAACAAATGACTAATAGCAGGGGTTTGGAGTCAATACAGGTATCTGTCACTGAGCAAGTTAAACAAAATGTGGGGTGGCTAAACATCATATAACACAATATAGGAATTACACTCAATAGACTCAACAGACTAGACAACAACACATCTACATGACAGATGGACAAACATTAGGTGCAGCAATTGAGATGTCACTTGTGGCACCTGCAGTCTATGCTGGAATGGCTGGGTTCAAGCCTCAGCTCTGCTCTAGTTCTGCTTCAGCCTGACGCAGCTCTGGCTGTTGTGAGCATTTACTGTGTAAATCAGTGGATGGAAGAGCTCCTTTATAAGAAATTAAGTGAAAACGGAATGAAACAAATGGGATGTAAAGTTATGGCTATGGCTTCATTATCGGTTATATAAATGAAAATACTGTATACCAAACACCACCACATGGTTTAGAAGGACAAAACATACATACCAAACATGTCAGAATGGTTGTCTAAGGGGCAAAGTGACGTAAAGAATGAGAACAGGGGCTGGCAATGTGGCGCAGTGGGTAAAGCTCCCACCTGTGGCATCAGCATCCCATATCCCATATCCCATATCCCAGCTGTTCCATTTCCAATCCAACTCTCTGCTAACATGCCTGGAAAGGCAGCAGAGGACAGCCCAAGTTCTTGGGTCCCTGTAACACACGTGGCAGACCCAGAAGTTCCTGGCTCCTAGCTTCATACTGGCCCAGTTATAGCCATTGTAGCCATTTAAAGAATGAACTAAAGCATGGAAAATCTTTCTCCCTCTTTCTCTCTCTGTAATTCTTTCAATAACTACATAATTTTCTTTTAAAAAGAGGATCTGTAAAATCTAGGATGATAAATACACCTAACATGGAGTTTTCTCTTTAAGGTAAAATTAGAAAAGATCAGAGCCCAAAGGGATCAGAGATACCCAGTTTACACCTTTTCAAGGTTGCATTTACCTCATTTCACAAAGAACAGGCATTTAAGTCATGTAAATAATGACTGTCCAAAGTTGAGGAATCAGAGGGGCTGGCACTGGGCAGAGGGTTATGCTGCCACCTACAATGTCAGCATCCCGTGTGAGTGCCAATTCAAGTCCTAGCTGCTCCACTCTCTGTTAATGTGTTTGGGAATGTAGCAAAGATGGCCCAAGTGCCTGCCTTCATAGAGTTCTAGGCTCCTGGCTTTGGCCTGGACTGTAGCCATTTGGAGAGTGAACCACTGGATAGATCATCTCTGTTTTCCCTCTCCCTGCCTTTCAAATAAATAAATTCTAAACAAACAAACAAACACAAAAAAACCTCAAATCGGGCCTGACACAATGACCTAGCAGCTGAAGCCCTCGCCTTCAACAAGCCAGGATCCCATACGGATGCCTGTTCTAATCCTGGCAGCTCCATTTCCCATTCAGCTCCCTGCTTGTGGCCCTGGAAAGCAGTGGAGGACAGCCCAAAGCCTTGGGATCCTGCACACACAGGGTACAGGTAGAAGAGGCTCCAGCCTCCAGGCTCCTGGCTTCGGATCGGCACAGCTTCAGCCATTACGGCCACTTGTGGAGTAAATCAACAGACAGAATATCGTCCCCTCTCTCCTCCTCTCTGTATATCGGCTTTGTCAACAGAACTAAATAAATCTTAAAAAAAACCACAAAAACTCAAATCATCCAACACAGTCTAATGATACCTTTATTATTAGGACTACGTCACTCTTTTTAAATAAGGTATTGGAACAAAGTTATATTTTTAGAGGAATAATTCTATGATAATCATTGCTTTGGATGACAAAGTTCTTTCTCCTCATAGATTTTTTTTAAAAAAAATATTTGTTTTCTTCTTCTTAGAAGGCAGGGTAAGAAAGAGAAAGAAAGGGAAAGAGAGATGAATTGACTGATTTTCTACCCACTGCTTTAAGCTGGAACCAAGAGCCCAGAACTCTATCTGGATCTCCCAAGTAGGTGTCAGGGCCCAAACACTCCTGCCATTATCTGCTATCTCCCTGTATACATTAATAGGAAGCTGCTAGAAGCAGAGGTACCAACAAGCACTCCCATTAGTGATACAAGTGTTCCAGAACATAGCTTAATCCAAGGTTATAAGATGCCTGGCCCCACTAAAGAGCTTTCCTGATGCTCTTAACTAGGACAATGCTGGTATTTCATGTTAGGGTACCAGCCTGAGTCCTACTACTCTGCTTCTGACCCAGCTTCCTGCTGATGTACCTGAAAAGGACACGGAGATGGCTTTACTGTATGGGTCCCTGCTACTCAGGTGGGAGCAGAGTACAGTTCCCGCTTCTGCTTTCAGCGTGACCCAGCTCTGGCTGTTGTGACCCTTTACAGAGTGAATCAGTGGCTGCAAGATCTCCGTCTCTCCCACTCTATTTACTTCAAATAAATAACCATCTGAAGTGCTAGGAGAAACTAGCCATATCCTGGGGAGGGGAGGAAACTTAAAGACCATGTAACCATGACCTATAAGAAGAAGAAATTCAAAGAACCTGAAAACCAGTCCCCCCTCACTCAGACCATTCTGCTTTCACAAAATACTCACCATGTTCTTCAAGATATGCCTGGAGTCTATTAATAAGATCTTGCTTTATTCCTTTGGTCTCCAAACCACGAGCAAGGCATTCTTGTTTTAGCTCTGCAAGCTGAAAAATAAAACTATTCTTTAGTCATCAAACGAACCCTAATAAATGGAAAGAAATAGTTCTCACAAAATAAAATGATAATAAAGTCTACCCCATCCAAACTACTGCCCTTGATTCTACCAAGCCTGAGGTCCACAAAAATGATCCAATTTCTTTCAACAAGACTTAATACGTAAAAGTAGTAACAGGTATTAAGGATAAACATTGCACTTTAATACAATTCTGATATACTGTGCAACCATTTATTACCACAAATCTTAAGTTATTTCTGAATAATTCTGAAAGGGAAATTTTTTTCTCCTGAAGATCACTGTGCCAGTACATGAAAGCATGAACTTTTAAGCAGCATATGCAATACTGTAAATCCAGATTCTTTCTTGCTATCTGTGGTACAAGACCTATTCTGACAATCAGTCATATAAATGCACATATGTCAGATCACCTAGAATTAGATTAATGTTAGCTATCTCAATTCAACAACAGATTAAAGAATATACATTAAAATGAAAATATCAAATGGCATACAAAAGTTGTTTTGGAGATTTTTTAAATCAGTAATTTGACCACCAAGTATGCTTAATTTCATGGACAATAGGAGAAAGTAGCATTAATGGATTACTGAAAGAAAGAAGCAAAACAACAACAACAACAACAAAAAACCCCTGCAGGGAAACAGCCAAAATGAAGATTCAATCAAGACAAGACAAAGGAATAAATGTTAAAATTCTACACCTAAGATGAAAACTTTATTTAAATAAAAATTAGACAAGGGAGATCTAGTTTAATGGTAACCTAAAGAATAAAGACCTCAGGATTTTAAGCAAAAAAGACTAAAATTAAGGATTTGCTGTAAGATCTGGCGCAATGGCTCAATCCTCACCTTGCAAGCACCAGAATCCTGTATGAGCACCTATTCTTGTCCCAGCTGCTGCACTTCCTATCCACCTCCCTATTTGTGGCCTGGGAAAGCAGTGGAGGATGGCCCAAAGCCTTGGGACCCAGCATCCACTTCAGAAACCCAGAAGAAATTCCTGACTTCAGACTGGCTCAGCCCAAGAGACAAAAACAGAAACCCTCTATCTGCTGGTTCACTCCCCAAATAGCTGCAATGGTCAGAGCTGAACCAATCCAAGCTAGGAGCTTCTTTCTCTCACGTGGATGCAGCGGTCATGGACTTGAGCTAGCGTTCACTGTTCTCCCAGGGAAGAAACAGGGACCTGGATCAGAAGTGGAGCAGCCCAGACTCAAACCAGTACCCATGTTGGATGCCAGCGACAAAGGAGGAGTGGCGGCTTACAACACGGCACCAGTCCGAGACTTTTTTTTAAGCATCTATTTATTTTGGGGGCCTACATATCGGCTCAATTGGCTAATCTTCCTTCTCCAAGAGCTGAAATCCCATATGGGCCCACAATGGCTAGAGCTGAGGCAATCTGAAACCAGGAGCCAGGAGCTTATTCCAGGTCTCCCGTGGAAGTATAGGGTCCCAAAACTTTGGGCTGTCCTCTGTTGTTTTCTCAAGCCATAAACAGGGAGCTGGATGGGGAAGTAGAGCAGTAGGGAAATAAACTGGTGCTCAAATAGGGTGTCAGTGCTTGAAGATGGAGGATTACTCCATTGAGCCTTGTGCCACCGACTCTTTCTCCAGTGTATTTGTAGCTCCTTCCATCTCACCCAATAAATATTCCCTTATTTTGCCATTTCTTATTACATTTTTATAGCAAACCTATTTACTTCACTGAATTTAGCCATCAGCAAATCCTATCAGCTCTACCCCCAAAACATAAAACAGAACTGAATCCCTTCTTCCCACTGCAATCACTACCCTGGTATTTCCTCTCATAGATTACCACACTGCCAAAACTCTCTACCAACCATATTTCTTTTTCCAGTATCTCACCTGTCCTCTACGTTCTTCTACGTTAGTGGGGGAAAAGTGATAGTTGGAGGAAAGAAAAACTACTATATCAATAAGAAATAAAAAAGCAGCAGCAGCCAGAGTCTTAAGTATTACCTTCCAGGTCCTACACTACATGCTCTCTTTCCCCAGCTCTTATTACCACTGTTCACTGATAAGCCCAACTGGCCTCACACTATTCCTCTAACACAGGGTTTCTCTGGAACACAGTTCAATTCCTTTACCTCCCAGGCTGCAGTTAAACATTCATTTCTCAATGAGACCACACCTAATCATTCTATTTTAAATTACAAATACTCTTGTCATTGTACTCCCTATCCCTTCTATTCTTCTCTATAGACTCTACAACCATTTGACACACTACAAATTTTACTTATTTATTCTGTAAAATATAGGTGCTATAAGAATTTCATGTTTTTGGGGGCCTGGCGGCGTGGCCTAGTGGCTAAAGTCCTCACCTTGAACGTGCCAGGAGCCCATATGGGTGCCGGTTCTAATCCCGGCAGCCCCACTTCCCATCCAGCTCCCTGCTTGTGGCGTGGAAAGGACAGCCCAAAGCCTTGGGTCCCTGCACCCGTGTGGGAGACCTGGAAGAAATTCCTGGCTCCTGGCTTCGGATCATCATAGCACCAGCCATTGTGGTCACTTGGGGAGTGCATCAGCGCACAGAAGATCTTCCTCTCTGTCTCTCCTCCTCTCTGTATATCTGACTTTGTAATAAAAATAAATAAATCTTTAAAAAATAAAAAAGAATGTCATGTTCTGTTCATTGCTGTATCTGCAGCATTAAAGTAACTGGCACATGGTAGATGTTCCTTGTTGTAAATCTTAAATCCTCATTCACCCATCTATCTTCAACTCAAATGAAAAGACCCACATTCATAATTAACACCTTCCAAAGACGTGAAACCCAAATGCTGTGCCTATGTCCAACACAGTGGCATGGCAGGTTGGGCTTCGGTCTGCAATGCCAGCATCTCATATGGGCTTCAATTCAACGCTCAGCTGCTCCACTTCCCAACCAGCTCCCTGTTTATGGTTTGAGAGAGCAGTGGGGGGTGGCCCAAAGCCTTGGGCCCCTGTACCCGATAGGAAACCCAGAAGAAGCTCCTAGCTCGTGGTTTCAAACAGGCCCAGCTACCGCCACTGTGATCATTTGGGGAGTGAACCAACAGACAGAATATCTGTTTCTCCTCCCTCAGGAACACTGCCTTTCAAAAGAAAAGAAACCATAAAAAAAAAAAAAAAGACTCTGAAACTTATCTTCTCTCCTGAACAAACAAACTGGATACTTCTCGTGTTCCTAACTTAAGTGTATCACATCCAACTAACTCTGTAAATATAATTTTTAAAGATTTATTTATTTTCATTAGACAGGCATATTTACAGAGAAGACAGAGGAAAAAGATCTTTCATCCACTGGTTCACTCCCCAAATGGCCACAACAGCCAGAGCTGAGCCAATCCAGAGCCAGGAGCCAGGACCTTCTTCCAGGTCTCCCTTGTGGGTGCCAGGTCTCCCAAGGCTTTGGACTATCCTCGACTGCTTTCCCTGGCCACAAGCAGGGAGCTGGATGAAGTGGAGCAGCCAGGGCTAGAACGGGCACCCATATGGGATCCTGGTGCTTACAAAGAGAGGATTTATTTATTGAGCCACTGCACCAGATCCCAAAGACGAAGATTTTTATAACCCAAACTATTTTCAAATTTGTACCCATTTCTGATAGCTGCTGTTCTGTATCTGGTCTTCTTAGTTCATTCACTCGACAAATAGTTACTGGACACCCACTGTATATCTAGCATTATCTTAGACTCAGGGATATCATAAGCAAAACAGAAATCAACCCTGGCCCAATGGCTCAATGGTTAAATCCTCACCTTGCAAGTGCCAGGATCCCATATAGGCACACATTCCACTTCCATCCAGCTCCCACTTATGACCTGGGAAAGCAGTAGAGGATGGCCCAAAGCCTTGGGACCCTGCATCTGTGGAGACCTAGAAGAGGCTACTGGCTTCTGGCTTCAGAATGGCATTTGGGGAGTGAACCAACAGATAGAAGATCTCTCTTGTCTCTCCTTCTCTCTGTAAATCTGATCTTTCCAACAGAAACAAATATTTTTTCTTTTTTAAGACAAGGACCAAAAAGTGTCTTTTTTAAAAAAAAAAAAACTTATTTATTTTTATTGGAAAAATAGATAAACAGAAGAGATACTGAGAGAAAGATCTTCCATCCACTGGTTCACTCCCCAAGTAGCCACAACAAGTGGCCACAATGGCTGAAGCTGAGCAGTTCTGAAGCCAGGAGTCAGGAACTTCTTCTGCGTCTCTCATGTGAGTGCAGGGTCCCAAGGTTTTGGGCCATTCTGGATTGCTTTCCCAGGCCACAAACGGAGTCAGAAGGGAAGTAGAGTAGCTGGGATGAGAACTGGAGCCATACGGAATCCTAAGCGTGCAAGGCAAGGACTCCAGCCACTAGGGTACTACACCAGGCCTCCAAAAAGTGTTTAACTTATTAAGCAAATAATAATAAAATAATGAAATTAAAAATATAGAGTCCTATGAAGACATACAAAACATGTCCTGACCATGCATGTAGATAGGCAGAACAAGAAAAGCAGCCACGAATAAATGTGTGACTGCTATTGAAGAATAATTAGAAATCAGCTAGACAAAGATGTGAAGGAGGCAGGCTGGCAGAGTACAGCAGCCAAAAGAAAACTTCAAATACAGTGTGTGTAAAGGTTCTGGGTTCCAAGAAGAGGGAGAGGCAGCTAAGATGAAGAACACATATTTTGGGGGCTGGCATCATGGCACAGCACGCTACCTGCGACTTTGGGGTTGCAGCTGTTCCGCTTCTGATCCAGCTTCCTGCTTGTGGCCTGGGAAAGCAGCAGAGGATGGCCCAAATCCTTGCGCTCCCATTTGAAGCTCCAGGCTTCAGCCTAACCAAGCCTTAACTGTGAGTAACCATAGAATGGAAGATATCTATTTGTTTCTTCCTCTGAGTCCCAAATAAAGAAAAATCTTTTTAAAATATGCAAATTTTGGAGACAGATCGCATGCACAGTAGCTGTGCAACCTAAGCAAATTGCTTACTGACTCTGTTTCATATTTCTCTTTGAAATGGGGATAACAATGGTATTTTTATAGTTTTGTAAAAATTAAATCAGTTCATTTTTGTAAACTGCTTCAACTGGTGCTTATCACAGAATAAATCCTTTGTTAGCAGTTAATGAACACAGCCATATTTTGAGGCCAGTGTCATGGATTACAGGCTAAACCTCCACCTTCAACACAGCCATCCCATAGGAGCACTTGTTCATGATCTAGTTGCTCCACTTCCAATTCAGCCCCCTGATAAACTGCCATGGAAAGCACCAGAAGTTGGCTCAGCTCCTTGGGCCCCTGCACTTGTGAGGGCTACAGACTCCTGGCCCTGGCCTGGCCCAGCCCAGGCTATCACCACTGTTTAGGAAGTGAAGGAGCAAGTGAAAATCTCTGTCTTCCGCTCTCTGTAACTCTGTAACTCTTTCAAATAAACAAATCTTGGCAGAGGTCTGGGGGCAGAAGACTGCATTTCTATGAAATATCAAAATATTTGTAGTTACATGGCCTTACCCATTAATTCAGATATAGTTTTCCTTTCCATTGTAAAGCTTGTTCCTTTCCTCTAAGGTCCCATACTAAAGCCTTATATTTCTCTATAAAAATGAGGGGGAAAAAAATCTAAAAAATAATAAAACCCCAAGTCAACCCAAAAGTCAGGATCACTCCAGCATGACCACCAGTGGAAATTAAAAGTCAGAATTAAAGGCACAAGTTCTTAACCAGAGGTCCATGGACTCCTCAGGGCTGCAAGGTAGTTGTATGAGGCCCCTCAAATTGCATGCAAAGTATACACATGTCTTTCTCTGGGGAGAGGGTCCATACCTTTCATCAGAGTTTCAAAGATATCTGTGACCTCCAAAAGGTTAAGAAGTGTTCTAGAGAAAAAGCAAAGACAAGCAAATGTGATTAAAGAGTGAGTTGTGGTTAGGCTGTAAGGAGTGCCTCACGTTCTCTGACACCTGAAATCAGTCCAAGGACACTGTGTAAAAGCGTCTAATCAAATACAAATGTGGGAGTCCTCCATACACCAATAGAGAATTAATACATAAAGGCGAGCATGGGGGCAGCTGGTGATCTACTCCAAAGGCAAATAGGAAGAAAATATTAGACCCTATATTCATACTTTCTTTGGACCATATTCATCTAAAAATGTTTGTCTTTTACAACATGTACAAAATAGCAGAAAAGTACATAATTTATATTGAGAGTAAAATCTGGTTGCTCAGTTTTTCCTGCCATAAAAAAATTAGGAGATCACTGACACAATTCATACATTTCAGTTCCACCAACTTAACAGTAACTCCAGAATATCACAAAAAACTACTACTCCAGTTTAGAATCTGAGAGTAGGGAAAAAGCAGCTTTCATACAAAAGCTAATTGGGTCAACTATTAAGTGACTAAGGAAAGGATCTCTCTTTACTCTGACACCTTTAACCTTTAGGGAAAAAAAAAGCGCGCCTACACACAAAACCTAAGGCTTTAACGGATCAGTTTTCAATTCCAGCTCTGTCGGATTTGGAAAGCTACCAGTGAAAACAGACAATAATCTCTTCATTCGCCCTCGAAGACCAGAACAACTACCTAAGCGAAAAAGTTAACAAGATTCTCAAAAGTTCGATTTAAAATCTCATAGATTCAGAGTGTCACCCAGCGGTGACCTCAAGAGACGTGGGTCCCTTTGTGACAGGCAGCCACACAGGAGTCGTTTCCCCAAAACACTGAGGCTCTGAGTTCTCCCTCCAACGAGGGCTGGCGGGCGGAGACCCGAGTGAAAACACTGGGCAAACTTCGAGATCTGAAGGGTTTCTTACTAATTCTTACGGCCCGCTGGAGGCATTCGCCCCGGGGGCGGACCACCACCATGGAGAAAGGGAACGGGGGCATTTTCCGTCGTGTTTGGAACATATTCCCACAGAAGGACACACAAATGCCAGTTAGACTCTTGGCTCGGGACGACCGACGACATAAGGGGAGAAGAGGGGCTCCCGGGTCCGACGTGGGGCAGGGAGGAGAAACCATTGACGTAACGCAGCTCTGACGGGAAACGAGTCTATCAGGTACTTTGTACTTGGGAAAGGGTGGCCTGCTGAGAAAGGGTGGCTGATGAGAGAAGGAAGAGGAAGGGAGTCGAAATAACAAGAGAACAGTGAAACCATGCGAAATGGGAAACTGTAGAAGGCGCAGTGGGAAAGGGAAACACAAAAGGACTACGACGGGTGCCGGAAAAGAGTAGGAAAGGCTTTCAGAAGAACGTCTAGAAGAAAACGCAAGCCACCCTGCAGAATTCAATCCCCAGAAAGGTCCCACTCGGCCTTGCCACCGCCTCACAGTACCTTCAGCTTATGGAGCTCCACTGTCTCCGCCGCCATCTTGGTGCCCCTCCACTCAACTAGGCCCGTACCCGCTGCCTCCGCCTCGGAGCTCCCGCCTAGGTAAAGAAAACCAATCACTAGCAATCTTACTCCCACTACATACCATCAGTCCTTTCTATTGGCCAAGAGCTGCTGTCGCTCTTCATTCTCCTGGCAGCTCTCCTCTGCTCTGAAAAGGCGGAGAAACCAGGAGGGCGGGTTCTGCATCTTCTGAGTGACAGAAATATTGACCAATCGCGTGTCCCCAGTGCGGTCAGCCAACCAACTAGCGGTGGCAGCGCCGATTCTGTTCCACCAATAGAGGGAGGGCAGCTGCGGGGGCGGCTACTTCCTGAAGACTACAGGTGTAGGAGCGAGTACCGCGCCCCTTGCCGGACGGGCTGGTGAAGCTGGCAGGTAGGGTCTTCCGAGAGGCTGGAAACCAGTACCCAAGAAAATTGGCGGAGGGGAGGAAGGGGCGGCGAATCAGACACCGAGAAGAGAATGCTGAAGAACCCTGAAAGGAGCCAACGAACTAGAGGGGGAGGCTGAGAGAAGCGTGGGCTGGGCTCGGGACTGGAGTTGAGGGAATTCCAGGGTGGGCGGAGCTGCTCCCTCAGCAGCAGTTTGACTAGCACGGTCATAGAATCGGGCCGCTTCCTAGGTCAAGCCGAAAGCCGTGAGCAAATTCTTGCAGCGTCCACGCTTGAGAGGAGGGGAAGGGAATACTGACTGGTTACATGCCCAAAATGGAAGCGACAGGGCGGACTGGCCCGACGGAAAAGGTGTGGACTGGAGGCAGCCTTAGTGTCTCTCCCTCCTGAGTGGTTCGTTGATTCCATGACTCTTAGAACTTCGGGTGCATGCGCATTCTTCGTGATTCCTCCTTAACTTCTTCAGCCGGAGGAGGGAAGGTGCTCCCATTTCCCTGCTCCTGCAAGTGGTGGCCTGAGCCTAGGCCTACTCTTGCCAATGTGAGGAAGAGGGAAAGTAGCAGTAACTTGCCTAATATATAGGGAGGGCCCTTTTTGTCATCCCATTCCCCTTAAAGGTTTAGTCACCTGAAAAAACCAGAGGGAGACATGATCTGTCCACTGGTTCGCTTCCCAGATGGCTGCTCCATCTGGGTCCCCCACATGGGTGTCAGAGGCCCAATAGCAGGGAGCTGAATCAGAAGCGGAGCAGCTGGGAGCCAGTGCCCACTTGTGTTGCCAACATTACAGGGGTGGGAAGGTACAGCTCAAGCTGCTTTACTGGCCTCTTGCTGCCTTTTTTTGTTTTTTGTTTTTTCAACTTGAATTGGCAACCAGATGGGATGCTGCTCTTGCCTTTTAAAAAGTGTTTCCTGGACCTTTGGCTTTCCATGCTACATGAGAAAGTTCTTTCATTCTCAGTCAAGTTCAGGAGATCTGGCCTCTTTCAGAGACAACTGCGGAAAAACATTCTCAACAGAGGTTGAGAGGAAACTGAGTTGGATTCCTGTCTGGCCCATCCCCCGACTCTGGCAGGATGAATGTGGGGGTAGCGCACAGTGAAGTGAATCCCAACACGCGAGTGATGAACAGCCGGGGCATCTGGTTGGCCTATGTCATCTTGGTAGGACTGCTGCATGTGACTCTCCTCAGCATCCCCTTCTTCAGCATTCCTGTCGTCTGGACCCTGACCAACGTCATCCATAACTTGGTGAGCACAAGACAGCCCTCGTACCCACTCTAGACCTTTCCCAGACAAAAACAAAACCACCAGTTGCTTGGCCATGTCTTCCTCTTACAATTTTAACATAAATCGGGCTGAAGAGCTACTTGTCTTCCCTCACAATGTCCCCTTCCCTCTTCCCAGGCAATGTATATTTTCCTGCATACAGTGAAGGGAACACCCTTTGAGACCCCTGACCAAGGCAAGGCTCGGCTACTGACACACTGGGAACAGATGGACTACGGACTCCAGTTTACTTCTTCTCGCAAGTTCCTCAGCATCTTTCCTATCATACTGTGAGTCTTTGGGAAGTAGGGGCAATGCTATGTTAGAAAGAGGTGGAATAGCCAGGTGAGCAGAACCATCAGGAAGCTTTAAAATAAAGGGCAGACTCCTGGGGCAGGCGTTTGGCAGTTGTGGAGACATCACTGAGATTATCCAGTGTCTGATTCAACCCCCCACTCTGCTTCTGATCCAGCTTCCACTTAATGTGCAGTTTTGGAAGCAGCAAGTCATACCTCAAGTGCCTGGATCCATGGCACTCATTGGAGACCCAGATGGAGTTCCAGGCCCCTGGTTTCAGCCTTGCCCAGCCAGACTGTTGCATCTGGAGTGTGAGCCAACTCTTTGCTTGTGGCCTGGGGAAGTAGTGGAGGATGGCCCAAACCCTTGGGACAATGCACCCACATGGAAGACCTAGAGGACCTGGCTCCTGGCTTCAGATTGACTCAGTTCCAGCCACTCTAGCCATTTGGGGAGTGAACCAGAGGATAGATCTTTCTCTATGCCTCTCCTCTCTGTAAACTTTCCAATAAAAATAATTCTTATTTTTTAAAGATTTATCCATTCACAGGTTTGCTCCCTAAATGGCCTCAATCTCTATAACTGAGCCATCCAGGAGCCAGAAGCTTCTTCCGGTCTCCCACAGCCTTGGTCCCAAAAGCCTTGGGCCATCCTTTGCTGCTTTCCCAGACCACAAGCAGGAAGCTTGATAGAGGAGCACAAACCAGCACAAACCCATATGGGATCCTGGCACTTGCAAGGCAAGGATTTAGCCATTGAGCTATCATGTCGAGCCCTAAAGCAATTTTTAAAACCATGAAAGACAGTCACTACTAAGACATGAATATGAATAGAGAAAACCAATCTCCTATTTTCTCTCTCCCCAGTTACCTCCTGGCCAGCTTCTACACCAAGTATGATGCTGCTCACTTCCTCATCAACACAACCTCACTGCTTAGTGTTCTGCTGCCTAAGTTGCCACAATTCCATGGAGTTCGTCTCTTTGGCATCAACAAATACTAAGAATGGGACTGGGTACAGTTCCCCAGGCACAGGGAAGGCTTTGGACAAAGGATTGTCTACATCCTTCCAACTCTCTATGTACTGTTTTCTGTAATTGAAAAGCCTTTGAACTACACAGTCTTTCCCAAACTCACATTTCCTGGGAAGAGGGAAAATGGGGCTCCGGGACTTGGCCCTAATAAAGGTACATTTCTCTGGATTAGGAAAGGTGGGCAAGGATGAAGTTAAGGGCCAAATATGTCTTCTCTACAGGAGGATGCAGTGTTTGGACAGCTTTTCAGGTGATTACATTTTTTCCTATCTTCCACCCCTGCTACCTTCCAGACCTGTTTTTATTGTGTATTTTCTTTACAATAAAGGTACTTTTTCAGCTATGGCTGTGATCTGGTCAGCAGAAAAAATAGGGAAATACCCTGTCTTCAGGCTGGGGAGAAAAGATGGAATACTGATTTAATGTACAAAACTTTACAATGTGTCCCCTCTCTGGTCCAGTAGGAGGTGCCCTTCACTCTCAGCTTACTCAGTAGGGAAAGAATTCTCAAATGAGAAAAAGGGCTCCAGCTGTATGGGCAAAGAAGAGAGGGAAGATACAGGTTGCCAGTTACATATTTATAGAAAGATAATCTCCTGGCTTTAAATAGATATGTACATACAAAATGAACGAACTTAAAAAAATACAAACCCTTGAATCACAAGAGGGCATCTGGGAGCCATCTTCTTTCTCCCCCCTCACCCAAGGGCAGAGGGTATGAGTCTACTTTTTAAAAATTAATTTTGACCATCCTTGCAACAGCAAGCCTGGAGATGGGTGATTTGCCCACAAGGTGAAAGAGGGAAAATGGGCATTTTCTCTCTCTGAACTTCTTTGAGTTTCTTATGACAGGGCTACATACTTCCTTATTCTGTCTTTTATCTAGTATCTCAAGGCAAAGGAAGGGGTCCCTCCTGAAAAAAGTCACGAAATTAGGTAAACTCATAATTTTAAAGGGAGGTGGGAGAGCATCATCTGCTCTAAAAGAAAAAGGCGTGTGGACCACAGGGAAAGGCCCAGTTCCCACACTTTAAGGGGAATACTGTCTGCCCCTAGTCCAAACCCTAGGCTCTTGGCTCTAACCACTCCCCCGTATTTCTTTGGTATTGTCAGAAGACAAGATTCAGTTCCTGGATGCTAGGGGAAGAGAGAGTGCTTTAGGTCTTTCTACAAGTACTAGGTGAACAATTTAAGCTCAAAATTTTCCCTTTAAAAATATTTAAAAATAAACAAATCAAACTCCATCCTGTGCTGTACACAGCCCTTTTGACTCCCTGACATTGATTTGAGGAAAAAGGGTGGGGTGGAGGGACACGGGTATGGGCGGTGGTCAACGTTGGAAAGGCCTCCTCACTTTCTTCCGCCGTTTTGCTTTGGCTTCTCCCTTGGGTACTGTGCTGCTGGACTTTGAGGCTGCAGTGGGCCCAGGACCAGGCTGAGGAGCTGCAAAGAAACTACCATTGGACATATGGTCTGGGGGTACTTGAAAGATCCGGTTCAGGAAATCCTGCAGGTCAGCAGGAGGGCTATTGGAGGCGGCTCTGAGGGGAAACACAAGAAATAATAAGAGATTAATTAGGGTAAAAAATATCCTGAATCTACCCAAGCTTCATAGAAAGTAAAGCATTTATTAGGTGCCCTAATCACCAGGTGATCTGAAACTATACTCAGAACTAGAGTAGTGCACGGATCAGTGAAAGAAATCACACGTACCGCTGCCGACCACTGGCTCCTGGCATCCGAGAACCAAACGAGATGTGATAGGGAACTCTGTGGGTATCTGGCGAGATTCCCACACGCTGACATCCAGCCCACTCTGCAAACATGAGACAATTAGCTACAATATCAAAGTTGATAGCACTTAGAAGATAATGAGAGGACAGAAGTGTACCTGTGATGTCATACACCTTTCCATCCATCAGTGCAAAGTAGGTGATTTTGAGGCCCAACATGCTTGACTCTGCCCAAAAGTCTCCTTCCTCAGCCGGATGCAGCCTGTTACACTCAGCACAGTATCTGGCACTCTTAGCTTCCCGATCCATTTCAAACCTCCTATAACCCAACACAAGGAAAGTCCTTAATAACTTGGCAAGTCTATTTGCTGTGCTGATGGTCCCACTCCTATCCTAGTTTATACCTGTGCTTTCCTTGGCATCGACTACACATCATAGTATTCATTGCTTCTTTGAGGTCATCTTGTAACTTGGACAGAAACTCATTTACTGATCGGCTCAGCTCATTCTCTGCCATTTGTTTCCTGAAACAACAAAAACTTCCTAAACTTCTGAACACTGAGGGAGACGCAGAGACAAAACAAGTGGCCTCTAGAGACACTGCTAGCTAAAAAGAAAATAATTTCAGTAAATTTCAGTTCTCTTCTCCTCAGCCTCCATCCATAAGTCCAGAGGCCTTTGAAGTTGAGAATTTTTTAATTACCTCACCTGACAATAATCCCATCTCCAACTTACATCTCATATTCCTTCCGCCTTTCAGGGTTGCTGACAATGTCCCAAGCTGCCCGTAAAACCTTGAAAGCCTCCTCAGCCCGGGGATGATGGTTTTTGTCAGGATGAACCTATCAAAAAATATTTCATCACATATCTATTCCAAACACCTCTCATTCTTGAACTTATTCTCATACCAAAGGTTTCTTCTTCATCACTCTTGGAGAATCAGTATAACTTACGATGAACTATTCTAGCTCTGCAGACAGTTCAAGCTTCAGTTCTGTCACTTGTTACATAATGTGATCTTGAGTATTTTTCTATCATGGACTTTTGGAAGGATTAAATAACACAAGTGAAATGCACAGCACATAATCTGGCACTAGGCTGACCCGCGAGCCCATTTGCCTGGAACTGTTTCACTCTGGCATTGGCAGTCCCTGTCTGAGGAAACCCCCAAGAAACCAGGGGAACAGGGATGACTGACCGTCCAAACTGGTCCATACATACTAAATCCTTGCATTTTAATTTACTATTAGTTTAGAATGCCAAAGATATTATATCCTCAAACCATTTTTTTTTCCTCATTCTTTTCTAAATACAAAGTTCTCATTTCCAAAACTTTACACAATCTGCCTTCTGTCCCAACAGTTTATTACACTTACCAGCCTTTAACACAACAGTATCCTATTCTTACAGCTTCCTCTTTGTTCCCATCTCTAATCCCCAAAATACAGAGACAAAAGTTAGTTTCCTAACCAATGGCAAAGATGTGAATGCCTTCCATTTTACAAACTAACAGAACAACCTTTTTGGTATGTCCACACTGAGGCCTAGTAAGATAAGAGGAGTCATATGCAAAAGAAGGTCACCAACACTGCGGCTCAGAACATGAGAGAACTCTGGGACATTCTCCTTCAGCTATATGTATGCATGATAGGCAACTAAACTACATTTGTACTGTTAAGTCAGTTTAAAAATTGTGATTTTGCTAACAATATTCCTCAAGAAAGCAGGTCTGCTTAAAAAAAGGAAATTAAGTTTAAAAAGAGCCCTATCGTGCAGCGGGTGGGTCCCGGGACAGGCAGGGCGTCTCATGCCCGGATCCCATATGCCCGCCATCATGGGCACATGGTGAGCTGGGCTTGAGCCTGCTAGGGCTCCAGGGCTGCTTCCTTCGGGGTGAGTACACTGACCGAGGGGGAGGTCTCTGGAGCCGGGCTAGGCAGGCCCACCCGCCACTCTCATTGTGCGGACGGGATTGGGGTGGGGCGCGACCTTGGGCCTGGGAGGTTACACTTCCCTTCGCCTCTCGGCAACGGGTGGGCCCCGGGACAGGGCGTCTCATGCCCGGATCCCATATGCCTGCCCTCATGGGCACATGGTGAGCTGGGCTTGGGCGGCCGGTGGGCCATTTGGTGCCAGGCTTTGTCTGCTGGCTGCCCGGCAGGGGAGCTCTGGGATTTTGGTGGTTTGAATTGCTGCTTATGTGGCTCCATGTTGAACCCGATGTGTTTCTGCGAGGTGAATACATCCTAAAGTCTCCGAACGACAGTTACTCTTCCTTTAAAGAATGTGTTAGCACTTAGCAATGCTGACCACCAAATACCAGTTCATGCTAAAGCTTTGGCACGGGTTTTGTCCAGTAGACAGACTAACTGCATTAAGGCTACCGCCAAGAAGCACATGGGCTGGAATGGGGGCTGCGTTCTGATCAGAACACAGCACCTTAGCACAAGTGTGGACTGGGACTGGACGCACCAGGCTAGACCAGACCCCAGCACTGTCTGGTGCTCCTGGAGGGCCAGGATAGACGTGGGACGGACTAGGCTAGGTCGCAACCCCTACTGAACCATGTGTGAGCCATATGTGGGAATGGACTGGACGAGCCATGGCTGGGCTGAAATATCCAACAACAACCAGCTTGGGTCGAAAGCTAGTCAGGAACTGAGTAGGGCTGGCTCATGGACACACTGGCATGCGCAAAATCCGGCACTGGGAGAGGTTCTGATGGAGGAGCCTGGGCAACTCCTCTGGCAGGACACAGACCCCACGGGTAAGCGCAAGAAGCATGAATGGAAACAGCCCAGAGCAGGCCACAAGAAGTTTCCCACTGGCATACATTAGGCATGGATTAGGGGCAGACCAGGCTAGTCAGTTAACATCATCATTGGCAAATCCGAGCACCAGAACAGAGTAAGGGTCAAGCCAGGTTTGGTTGCAATAAAAACCAGTCCACACTACAGAATGCCAGGATGAGGTTGACTGTGCCGGATGTGACTGCAGTGCCCATCCAGCACATGTGAGAAACAGGGAGGGGACAGAGCCAGCGGGGGAATAAGGGGTGGTTCCCCTGCTGGACAGCTACTCCCACTGGAGAACATGAACTGGGATGGGGGCAGACCAGACTAAGCAGGGCTACAACACCTGTACGCCTCATGTGGACTAGATCCAGGAAAAGCCAGGATGGGTGGATTGTTCCTATGGGTGCAACCTACAATTAGAATGGGAGAGGGCTGTTTGGGCATAGCCGTAGCATCAGCTGGCAGAAAGTGGTCCTGGGGGCTAATCCTGACAAGTTAAACTGCAGAACCACCTGGAAAGTGCACAATCCAGGAGTGAGAGACCTGGGAGGGAAATAGTGGGTTCCCCCCTCTTGGGTTACCACTCCCACGGGAGGGCACGATAACTAGGACAGGGGCTGGGGTAGCTAGACAGAGAGGCACTCAACCACACCCGTGAAGGCTTGACTGCTGCGCTGGTTAGATGGATCCAAGCTTCAATGCCATTTGCCATGTACGAGAGCTGGGGGGATGTGGGACAGATTGGACTGGTCTGCCACACATATTGGCAAACCAGGGTAGGGGGTGGGCCTGATGTGGGTTATTGTGGGCCGCTCTCATCAGGATGCAGCTCCCAACTGGTTTCGGTGAAGACCGAGTATGTGCTGTGCAGGACCAGGCTGGGCTGCAACACCCATTGGTTCCAGTAGAAGGCAGGGCTGAAAACAGAACCAACCCAGCAATTGCAACTACCAGCTGACCGGGTGATGGACTATGCCGGGCCCTGTGCTTGCTGGTGCATACAAGTATCTGGCCTGGGAACACCTCAGACGAAGGTTCTTTGGTGATCTCCCCAGTTGAAATGCCAGACTCAGAACCCAAACCATGAAGGGACAGAAGATGGAACAAGTTAATCAACCACGTCAGCTATAGGTTGGCAACAAAATACTGGGCAAATAGAGACGCTATGATGGACAATGTCAATTAATGGATTTTTCAACAACCTCATCGTGTTTGGAGAGGCAAGATTGGCAGCAATTTCAAAACTGGTGACCTATTAAAACTACTTCAACGAGTATCTCGGAGCATGCCCCACATGCTGGACTTGGGGTGGGTGGGAAACCGGGTGGGGCTTCTCCCTCAATATCCCCCTCTACCTCAGATATATGAAGGAAACAATATGGAAATAATAGTCTTACCCACTTTCCTGTAGCCCTTGACCCTTTTTGCCCAAATTAACTATATAAAGATTGACAAAATAAAAAATTATTATAAGATTAAAAAAAAATGGGGCCCGGTGCTGTGGCGCAAGTGGTTAAGGTCCTCGCCTTGCACGCCCAGGATCCCATATGGGCAACAGTTCTAATCCCGGCAACCCCACTTTCCATCCAGCTCCCTGCCTGTGGCCCGGGAAAAGCAGTTGAGGACGGCCCAAAGCTTTGGGACCCTGCACCCATGTGGGAGACCCAGAAGAGGCTCCTGGCTTCAGACCGGCATAGCATCGGCCTGTTGCGCTCACTTGGGGAGTGAGTCATGGGATGGAAGATCTTCCACTCTGTCTCTCCTCTCTGTATATCTGCCTTTCCAATAAAAAAAAATTTTTTTTAAAAGATTGAAAAAAAAAAAGAGCCCTATCATTAGTCATAACTTGACAGTTAGCGACTGTTATACATTCTAAGAATATCACAGGCTGGGCCCAACATGATAGCCTAGTGGCCAAAGTGGGCATCAGTTCACGTCCTGGCTACTCCACTTTCCATCCAGCTCCCTGCTTATGGCCTGGGAAAGCAGTCAAGGACAGTCCAAAGCCTTGGGACCCTGCACCGAAGACCCAGCAGAACCTCCTGGCTCCAGGCATTGGGTCAGTTCAGCTCCGGCAATTGCAGCCACTTGGGGAGTGAATCAGCGGACAGAAGATCTTCCTTTCTCTCTCCTTTTCTCTGTAAATTGGACTTTTCAATTAAAAAAAACAAATCCTAGGCTATCCCTTGAGGGCATGCATTTCCCACCCAAGTGAATAATACTTTCCTGATAGTTACAGGCCTAGTGGTTTGTTGTACCTATGATCATTAATGGAAACCCTGGGTGCCCATTTCTCTTTGACATCTTTTAATCACTAGGATAACATGCATACTATGTTTCAAGAATCTAGCTCCATACATCCAGTAAAAACCGGCCTTCAGTGCAGCTGACACATTACTTATATTCATAATGTATAGAAATAGCAGTAGCAATCATGTATCCCAAAACAGCAACCTAATATCTATTTCTAACAGCAGTCTGCATGCATGCATTAAGAATGTTCCTCAAGCATCTAATAGGTGTTTCCTCTGCACACGCCCTTATCAGTCCAAACAACCAGTACAACATACATGCATGCACACCTCTATGATTTATGTTCCATTTTCCTTCCCTTTCAATATTTTGGTTTGCTAGTCTTTAAATTGGTTGTTATTATTATTATTTAATGTATCTGAAAGGCAAAGTAACACAGAAAGAAAGGGGAGAGGCAGAAAAAAAGGGATCTTCCATCCAATGATTCTCTCTGCAAACAGTTTCAACAGCCAGGGCTGGTCCAGGCCAAACCCAGGAACCTGAAACTTCATCTAGCTCTTTGACATGGGAGGTAGAGGCCCATGGGCCATTCTGTTGCCCTCCCAGGTGCATTAATAGGGAGCTGGATCAGGGGCAAAGCAGCCAGGACTGAAACTGCTTTCTAAATAGGATGCGGCATAGGAGGTAGCGGTTTAACCCATGGTGACAAAATGCTGGCTCCAGGTTCTTCTCTTTAAACTGGTCCTATTAGAATCATCTGCAGGGTCCGGCGCGGTGGCACAGTGGTTAAGGTCCTCACCTTGCACACCCGGGACCCCATATGGGTGCCGGTTCTAATCCCGGCAGCCTTGCTTCCCTTCCAGCTCCCTGCCTGTGGCCCCGGAAAAGCAGTTGAGGACGGCCCAAAGCTTTGGGACCCTGCAGCCACGTGAGAGACCCAGAAGAGGCTCCTGGCTTCAGACCGGCATAGTATCGGCCGTTGCGCTCACTTGGGGAGTGAGTCATTGGATGGAAGATCTTCCTCTCTGTCTCTCCTCTCTGTATATCCGCCTTTCCAATAAAAATATAATAAAAAATAAATCTTTAAAAAAAAAATCATCTGCAAAGGCAGATTTACAGAGGGAAGGAGATACAGACAGAAAGATCTTCCATCCACTGGTTTGCAGGGCCCTGTCTCCCAAGGGTTAACTCCAAAGCTTAGCTTGTTTTTCAAGGGGTAACAGGATGCACAATCTTGCCCTGATACATTTAACTCCTGGCTTAACCACAAGTTCCTGCTTCCCTGCTTCCAGTTTATCAAAAGATGCCCCTGGGGGTCTTAGGAGCTGCTTGAGCAATGGAAAAATACTGGGAGGAACCAGAGAGTATAAAAGGCAGGCTAGACTTCAATAAATCGGCATTCTCTTTGCAGGAATGACCCAGTGCATGTTGTCTTCTTTGTAACCCTAGTCCCTCCTCTCGACTCAGGGTACACAGTGACACGGGTGTTGCCAACAGATGGAGGTTCCACCGAGATCAAGAAAGAGAAGATTCGATGAAGGGTCATCCCAGGAGGCTGGCCAGCTAAATAAGGTAAGTGGGACGTATTGTAAGCCTTTCCTAGACAGGTAGGAGAGGGAGTTTTATTTTGAAGTATAGTTAGGTCTTACATTTATTTTGAAATATACTTAGGTCTTGGTGTTTAATTTATCCTGTGAAAAGGACAATAAAATAGGTTCAGGCTTTTCCCAGGATAAATTGGTCACCGAGCTTGAAGATCTTCTACATCAAATGGGAATGCTGTTGGTCAGAACAGGCTGACCGGAGAATTAAGCAATTTAAGTAAGGTTTATTTAAAAAAAAAAAAAAATTCTGTAGAGGGTGTCTTGATCCCACTCCCCGTTTGTGGTTCCATAACTATTGATATCCCAATAATCTAGAGAATGGACTAAATAAGGGAACGTAGGTCGAAGTTCCCTTACCCCAAAGAGACCCCCGATGAATCCCCCAAAATCACCAGTGATCCTCCACTAGATGATGGCACTTGCCGCCGTGCTCAGAGCAGCCGGTCCCTTTAAGGCCCCTCCTCATATTACCCCACCTGAAGCTATGCCTTCTGCCCCTGTTTTGTGCAACCCTATTCTTAATTCAGACCATGTTTTTGACTGTAAGGAGAAGGCTAAAATTCAATTGGCCCGAGACCGCCTCCCTTGAGGTGTGCATGCATAAAGATGCTGTTGAATGTCTAGGAATGAAGATATCTGTATCTCAAATTTTGAAAGTTTTTAAAAGAATTGAAGCATTGAGCTTTAGATGGTCTCTGTTTAATTGGTGACTTTGTCAAGTGTCTATCTAGCTTCAGTAGGCTCTATTCTTGCTTCAACCTTTGAATTTGTTGGAATTCTTGGCAAGTTGTGAGATGATTTTGGGCACTAGTTCCTGTATTTAATTCTCATGATCTAAGAGAGCTGTGTTTTCAAGGGTATTTTCTGATATGTATTTACTTTAAACTGTTTGGGTGATCATTTATAAGTGATAAAAATTTTTGGTATGTTACTGTTCAAATCAGTCTGACTAAATGAAAGGATATTATAATGAGGAATCTTTGATCAGATACTTTAAGGCCTCTTGGCATATTTAATAGGTTTAATTCTTCTGGATTTGAGATTTCTAGATGGGCCCCTAGCGGCATCAAGGTTGAAAGAGTGTGTTTCAGGGGTTGTGTCTTTCAGTTGGTGAAGTGAATTGTAGGACAGAAACTAATTAGGTCTGTAAAAAAAAAAAAAATCAGGGGGCACTGCAGAAAAGACATTGAGAAACCTTGCCAGTGGGGAGCCAGGACTAAATGACCATCTGGTTGTGGTGTCATCAGTCATAATGGCTAGGTGTTGGGGGCACTGACCATTTCCTGCCCTGTGATTGGTCCTTTGCCCTGATTGGTGTGCCTTGATATAAGCTGATTGGACAAGTTTGACATATAAGCCAGGGGCTTGACGGGGGAGGGGCGGGAGTGTAATGGACTTAACGGTCATAACAGTTCACAACGGAAGATCACAACAGAAGATCGGAATAAAGCACCTTGGAGACTCTCTCAAGTGTGGGGTGATTTCTTCTGTGGGACCGGAGGACCCCTGATAGCTAGGCCCCTAGGTCTAAAAAGTACAGGTGGTATCACAGCACTAAACATAGATACTTTGTTTCCTAGGGTTCCAGCAGACCTATAGTAACCATTAAAGCTAAAGTTTGATGGGCCCAGTGGCATGGCCTAGCTGCTAAAGGCCTTGAACCCGCCAGGTGCTGGTTCTAATCTCAGCAACTCCACTTCCAGTCCAGTTCCCTGCTTGTGGCCTGGGAAAGCAGTTGAGGAAGGCCCAAAGCCTTGGGACCCTGCACCTGCTTGGGATACCTGGAAGAAGTTCTTGGCTCCCGGCTTTGGATCAGCATAGCATTGGCCTGTTGTGCTCACTTGGGGAGTGAATCATCGGACAGAAGATCTTCCTCTCTGTCTCTCCTTCTCTCTGTATATCTGACTTTCCAATAAATAAATAAATCTTAAAAAAAAAAAAAGCTAAAGTTTGATGGTAAACTATAGGTATGGTTTATTCAATTATGATTATTATGAGAAAAATGTAATTCTAAACAACTGGTAACTTTAACACACGAGAATTCTCAAGTAGCTGTTACAAAATCTGTTTTGTTTTATATGTTACCTGATATACATGTACATATTTATTTGGCAAGCTATGTAGTCTATCTTAATTGGCTTATAGATGAAAATATAAATGTGAATTGCTAAGCTAAATCCTTTTGAAAATAATGTATGGATACACAATTAAGCTCTTAGAGAGGCATGTCTGTTTCTGTTTTCTCAGGACCTACAAAATCTGTTTAGCTGAATAATTCTGAATGTATTCAAATGGACTTACTACTCAGGACTTCAACAGGCCTTTCAAGTGCCAGGATGTACATCAAACACCTGATGACTTCTGGTTTCTATCAGGAACTACTAGTTGGATCCCCTACTGCTGCTGTTACCCAACAGCATCCCCTCTCAACAGGAAGTAGCTAAGAGCGGACGAGGATACCACCTTTCCCTAAAAACTTTTGGGGTCCATTTCTCTGGAAATGTAGGAGCCAGATGGATGATAGGCAGATAAGGTCTCTGCTTCATGGTAAAACTGTCTTGTATACATGTAACAAATAGCTGTACAAAATTCTTGAATGTTAGTATTTTCAACAATACTTGTACACTGCTAACTATGTCTTTTTGAATCTCACCACCCAACTTGCCACCATCATTATTAAGGTCAATGAGACCCAGGTGCCCCTCATGTCGAGGAAAGTTATTCTAAATGGCATTGGACTGGCAGCATGGACGTTTAAGAAATGGAGCGGAGTCTTAGCCTTGGGACTGATGGTAATGGCCATGATTGCAGTACTGTTTCTTCTTCTCTACTGCATATACAGGCAACAAGCCCAGGAGCGGGTCATCATTAGGCAAAGCCATGATGGCCTTAGCTGTGGAAAACCCTCGTGCTCAAGTCTGGTTGAGCATGATGCATAACGGGCAGCCAGAGACGGGTAAGATCTGGCAGAGCTGATAACCAACCTAAGACAGGATCCCATGTGCTCTGGGTGGGGCTCCCCATGACGGGTAAGGCGTTAACGACTGCTGGACAACCTAAGACAGGAATCCATTAATAAAAAAGGGGGGGATATGCAGGGCCCTGTCTCCCAAGGGTTAACTCCAAAGCTTAGCTTGTTTTTCAAGGGGTAACAGGATGCACAATCTTGCCCTGATACATTTAACTCCTGGCTTAACCACAAGTTCCTGCTTCCCTGCTTCCAGTTTATCAAAAGATGCCCCTGGGGGTCTTAGGAGCTGCTTGAGCACTGGAAAAATATTGGGAGGAACCAGAGAGTATAAAAGGCAGGCTAGACTTCATAAAGCGGCATTCTCTTTGCAGGAATGACCCAGTGCATGTTGTCTTCTTTGTAACCCTAGTCCCTCCTCTCGACTCAGGGTGCATGGTGACGCGGGCGTTGCCAACACTGGTTCACTCCCCAAATGGCCGCAACAGCCAGAGCTGGGCCAATCCAAAGCCAGCAGCCAAGAGATTTTTCCAGGTCTTCTACATGGGTGTAGGGTATGAAAAGTTTGGGCCATCTTCTGCTGCTTTTCCAGTCTATTAGCAGGGAGCTGGATGGGAAGTGTAACAGCAACCATAAAGGATGCCACTTGCAGGTGTAGGATTAGCCTGTTCAGCCCCAACTTCTAGCAAGTATTTTTTACTAGGCTTCTACCTTATTCTGGTTACAGGAACATTAAATATTCTAGTTTGAATAATTTCAATGCCACCTGATAGACCAGTCAGGGGGAACCTCATAAGAAAACTGAAATGGAAAGAAGGTCAGATCCCATTGTACAGAGGAAAAAGTTTCTGTTTCCTAAAAATGTTACCCTTCAGCTAAAAAGCAAAATAGAGAATAAAGAGCAATATTTACCAACACTGCCAGCTGCCGGTAGGCTTTCTTCAGTTCAGCATCTGATGCTGTGGCTTCAACTCCCAGCACAAGAAAAGGATTCAGCTCATCCTCAGGAACCGCAGCCATGGTCAAGAGTCGAGCCACTTCCTCTTCAGGTTGGCAGGACCGCCCACTGGCCACAGGTGCACTCCCCTGGCTGTCAGTCCTCCGCTTGACCCAAGGCAATTCCAGCCAACCCCGTTCAACTATTCTCATCAGCTGCTGCCACGGCCTGCTCTCTCTGAGCCAAGTCAGGCAGCGCTGCAAGGCTGGAGAGTTCAGCCAGGACAAGAGCCAGGTGGCCTTATCCCTCCAGCCCAATTGGTTGCCCAATCCCACCAGAAACCGCCACCCCAACTGTAAACAGCCCAAAAAGAGGGCCAGAGCCAGAAGCAGCAAAGCACCCAGTAGCCTAAGAAAACGGGTGAGGAGTCCTGTTCCAACGGAGAACGCCTGGCTTAGAGTGTGGATCGCCACCTGGGCCCAGCCCCCCAGCCGCCCAGTCCAGGCAGCCACCCACACACGGCAGTGGTCCAGGTCACTGCCTTTCAACTGCCTGCAGGCATAGATGAGATGACCACATGTCTCCACATACTCTCCCACCAGCACCAGCAGCTCAATGAGCCACCAGAAGCCCGCCTGTCCCAGCTGACAAAGCTCCTTGGCGCCCCAGAAGCCCATACCCCGGTGCTTCTCCCCCTGACTGCGCTTGCGGCTCAAACGGTGTCGACCAGGTGGCCTGGCTTCTCTGCGTCCACCCTCCCGGCTCTCCTCCTTGGCCAGGAGGCGGGGCCGCTGTCTCCTGGACGAAGGTTTCTTTCCACCAGACACACGTGCAAAATCACTGGGGAACTTCAGGGGTTCTTCCTCGTCATAATCTTCTTCCAAATCTTCCTCTTCTCCTGAGGCCCGAGAGGTACAATGGTGGCAAAGGTTGCTGGAAGAGCCATCTCCCCCATCAGAGGAAGGTCCTTCAGGGACCCTAGAGGTGCTCTGGCAGGTGCAAGTGGCTGGAACGGAAGGACAAGAAGGGTCCCCATCCTCCTCCTGGCCCCCGGTCTCAGTCTCCCTCGCAACATCCTGGTCCAGTCCCGATTCTTCTCCCGAAGAGACCTCACTCTGCTCAAGGTCTTCTGGAACCCCAGGTGGCCCCGGTCCCTGTGGGGGGCCATGGCTCGGATCCACCCAATAGGCCTGGTTCGGGGGCTGTGTGTATTTAGGCCCAGCATGTTGGGTGAGGCAGCGGGTCCCATTTGGAGCTGTCCGCGCCGAGTCCCTAAGTCCTGAGCAAGAAACTGTTTCAGGGTGTACGGAAGGTTCTGGAGTCCTGAGGGCGGCCCTACCGCGATGGGGGGCTCCACACAACCTTCTTTCTTTGGGATGCTTCTGGACCATGACCCCGGGGCGGGGGAGGGGAGACGGGGTGCTTCCCAGGTGGGCTAAGTCACAGCCATCATGGTTGGATTCTGAAGCCTGTAACAAAACACACGATGGAGAGAGGGGGGGACAGGCTGAAGGCACCCTTTCCCCAAGTTCTCTGCAGCCACTGGCTACCCCCGCAGTAAAGTCAGAACCAGACCGACCACCGCCCCACTCGCCCCCAACCTCCGTGCTTCCTCTAAGCCCCTCAAGAAATCTAACAGCTAGAAGGTCGGACAGCAGGAGGCAGCTCCGAGGGTGTGGTCCGCAGACAGACGACCGTCCGGAGGGGCTGCACCGCCAGGAAAGGGTGGGGACCGTGCGGTTCCCGAAGAATAACCCCAGGGGCGGAGCCTCGGGAAGCCCCCCCTCCTCCCAGGAAAGGTCTACCCGTTAACTCCCAGTCCACGCAGACGGGGCGAAGGGCGAAGGGAAAGTACCTCACAGCCACGGTAACTACTCCCGCGTCGAGCAGCTGGGCCCGGGACAAGCCCCCCAGCTCCGCCTCCCGCTCCCGCTCCGCTTCCGCCTTCCGTCCCCGCCGCCACAGCCGACCCGCTCCGGCTTCCACTTCCGGGGTCAACCCAGGAACGCGACGGGAAGGAAAAGAAAAAAGGCGGTTGGGCGAGGCGCACGCCGAGGCGGTTCGCGTCGATCTACGTCAGAGGAAGGCGGTCCAAAGGACCGCCCTGACTCCACCCCTTAAAGGGCCCTGCGCTGCCGCGCTCCGCGTGTTGGAGCTAGGTGTTCGAGAGTAACGCCGCTCCCGGCGGAGCTCTTGGTGGTCTCCGCAGGAATGCCTGAGGACCGGGGGCAGACTCGGAGGGGGTGCTTGGACCGTCCCCCTGGGCTTGGCCGAGACTGGAGGGTGGTGGACAAGGATCGAGCTCCCGTGGCATATAAAACCAGGGCGCCCAGAGGAGTCGCCACCCCAGTCTCTTCTATGCCGTCTGCGATGGAACACAGGCTTCTTTGTGTCCTACAGAAGTAGAGCGGAGGAGAAGGCGCCCCTGGCGACCCCTCGCCCCTGCCGCGCAGCAGCGCAGCCCCTTCTGCGCCTGACCCAGCTGGCCAGCTGCCCCGTTAGGACTGCAGCTCCCACGGCCTAGATCCGCCCCTCCGCTCGGCTTCCAGGCCGGATCCCAGAACTGGGTCGGGGGTGGGGTGGGGCCTGAGAGCCTAGCTCCCCGGGGCAAGTCTGCCAGCTGCTTTGCATCTCATTTGCATGCCGAGCCACTTGGGTCCCCCTCCCCCCCCGCCGACCCTAATGGGTTCCTTCACGGTCTGTCCGCTTCTAGCCTTACAGCGATTTCGCCAGCCCGGGTCGGGAAGATCTCCAAGTTTGGCACCCCGCCCCTCGCCGACGCCCCCAACCAGTAAAAGCCCCTTCCCCGAGTCCTCCCCCCACCCACCCCACCCCGCCCCGGTCCCGACCACCCGGTTCTCCCGAAGACAATACTATGATTCTCTGGGAAGTGGAAGAAACCAAGCCGAGGCGAGAGGGGCGCTGGCACCTCAGTTGGGATTTGGGGAGAGCCCAGTGAGCCAAGCCGTAATATTCAGTGACCTTTCTTCCCAACCTCTTGCGTTGCCCCCCAAAACCCTTTCACGATACAGTTGAGAGAGGGGGTCTCTATTTCTAAACTGGAGCAAACGGCAGTCCGCGTTCCCCCAGACACAAAGGAAAGAGTTGGAGGGGCCTGCCCCGTGATGTCACCCCCCCACACACACACACATGCACACCCCCCTCTCCTTCCTCCACCTCCTAATCTAGTTGGATTTAGCTCACTGGGCTTGGGCTACGACTTGCGAGAGTTTAGAGGCCACTCACAGAGTGGCCCTGGGGATATCCACATCCAACAGCCGTTCCAGTGCGTGGGACTTCAGGGCAGGCATGCAGCTGGGAGCCTAGGAAAGCACTTCCACCCCACTCCTCAGCCCGTGGCAGGGTGGTGAGTAGTTAATGCCCCAACCTCACTCCCCAGCCTCCCCCTTGCTTAGGGTCCCCAAGCTTTCCCAGGCCAACCCCTCAACTTGTTAACGCTCCTGTAGGTCCAAAAAAAGACAGTTAAAGGCAAGCACCTACATCAGTGCGGCCCACACCCCATGGGCCCCTGATGCGAGCCCCTCCCTGCTGTTCACCACTTCAGGACCTGAATTCAAATCCTGCTAGCAGCCTTTGACATCCTTAGGGGAAGGAAGGGGTTGGAAAACCCACCCCCAGTGTCCTGCAGAAAGGAGTGACGGCTGCCAGGTGTGTCGTCTGTGGAGGAATCTGTAGGGGAGCCCTGGGACTCTGGACCCTGGCTAGACATTCTTGCTGGGACACAACCCCATGGCAATGTGAAACTAAGAGTGGATGATTGTGGCTATTTAACGCCATGTCCCAAACTCCTTTGATGTCCCCCCACTTCCTGTCCCCTTTATTTCCCCTGAGTTGGCAGTCATTGGAAGACCCTACCATGACTCATTCTCTCCTCTTGTTCCTCTTTCCCCTCTCTATTAACCCCACCCTTGCCAATCCAGTGAGGAAGTAACTGAGTCCCAGCTACAGATGGGACAAGCTTCCCTTTAAGCTGCAACATGTTGCTGGGAGTTTAACATCCAACCCATTTAGTGCCCCTGCACGCCTCCCTTCACAGACCTGGGACTTCCTCTTCCACGCTCATCCTAGAACCCACAAGCCCTAAAGAGCTTTTCATCTCACGTTTTGCTCAGTCTCCCCTCCCACCTTTTTTTAGAGGATTGGTAGGGAGACATCCCACTCCCTGCCACTTGCTGCTGTGGATTTTTTACCCCACCCAGAAGAAACTGGACATTCTTCAGAAGTAGAGGTGTGTTGACGCTCTGAGCTCCTGCTTGCTGGTCACTTGCAGGTTTCCCAGCACCCTCAAGACATTCATGGATGGATAAGAGGAGCCACCCTGGACCTCCTACTCTGGCCATGGAGGAAGTCTCGTTGCCCCTGGCTCTGACCTCTGACTCCAGGGCCTTCAATCAACAACTCCCAGAGCCTCCGGATCCCAGATGTGTTCTGGAGCCCTACAACAATCCTGAACTGGCACCTGCACTCATGTGTGCCCTTTGCTGCTGTTTTGGAATCATCTACTGCTGCTTTGGTGAGGGCAAGGCCAAGGTTCTGGGGCGGGGGCAACTGTCCACAATTGTCACTCCCAACGATGATACCAACTTTCTTCTCCCAACTTTCTCAACTGTCACTTGGCCTCCTCTACCTGTGGATGCCACCCTTCAGGGTGGCCCATGCTGCCCTTGACCATCACTCGTGTTCATGCTCTCAAACTCAGACCTGGAGTGTCTCACTTGCCCTTCTCCTCCTCCTAATTCCATTTCAATTTATCTTTCATGCTAAGACTTTCTTCACCCGTCTCAAAATAAACACACACACACACAGACCTGAATCAGCTCATGCTGGCTTCTTCCTGGCTGTCATCCCTGGGAGACCAGACCTTGTTTCCATGCTTACTCTTGGCGGATCCATCTTATCTCCCGGTTTTCCCTCTCTTCCCCTTACAGTTGAGATCAGCAGCTCCCCGCACCCTCCCTGAGGCTGGCCTTTTCTGCCCCTTGCCTTGAGGTCCTTAGCACACCGTGCTCCCTTCTGCTTCTCAGGCTAGCCAAGGCTTTCCCTTCCTGTCCATCAGCTCACCCCAGAAGCACCTCTTCCTTGCTGCCTCTCAATGCCTCCCACCTCCCTTCCCAGGCTACCGCTGCTTCAAGGCAGTAATGTTTCTCTCGGGCCTGCTATCGGGATCTCTGGTAATCTTCCTGCTGTGCCACAAGGAGCAGGTGCTGCAGACACAATTGAGCCTGGAGGTGAGCGCGGGCATCGCACTAGGCATCGGACTCCTCTGTGGCCTGGTCACCATGCTGGTTCGCAGCGTCGGGCTCTTCCTGACTGGTATCCTGCTGGGTGTGACCTTGGGTGCGGGGACTGTACTGGGCACTGAACCCATCTACCAGCCACCTTCAGCCTGGGTGCCAGCCGGGGGGCTGATAGGGCTGGCACTCCTGGGAGCCCTGCTCACGCTTCAGTGGCCGCGTCCATTCACAGTTCTGGGCACAGCCCTGCTGGGTGCTGCGTTGCTGGTAGCCTGTGCTGACTATCTACTGGAAGGATTAGCACTGGGCACTCGGCTGGGCCAACGCCTGCAGGCACTTCCGTCCTTGCCTCCTCTCTGCTGGTATAGCTGGGTCTTACTGGGGACCTGGCCAGCCTTGGGGACCCTTGGGGCCCTGGCCCAGTGGAAGCTCATGGCCAAAGAACATGGAGGCCACGCCAACGGTGAGTTTGAGTTAGTGCTGTGGTAGGTACAGAAGCAGCCAACCTATGCCTATATATATCCCTCAGTTCCCAACCTAAGGAGGGGAAGGAGAGAAATACCCCAAGGGGTGAGTAGGGGAGCCAGGGCAACCAAGCAGGACATTGAAAGTTGGGTTGACATTGGAGGATCCAGGAAATGAAAAGAGAAATTGTCAGGGGCAAGCAAGGAGGAGTTACTTGGGACCCTCACGGAAGGAGAAGTGAATGTTGGGGAAAAAAGCAGGAGGAAAGAATAGAATTCCCAAGAATTTCTTATAGACCAATGTTGCGGGGAAAGAAGAGGTTTGAAAAAACATAAAAGGAAGGCCGAGTGGGTTTATCTAAGTGTGCATGTGCCCCGGGGGTGGGTGGGACTGATGGCCCAAAGAGGCATCCTTGAGTCTGCGTCGCCCCTCCCAAGCAGTGGTGGGGAGCCACCAGCAAAGGCGGCTCCAGCTCCTTCGGATCCACCAGCAAGAGGCCAAGTGGCATCGCACCCCCTCTGTTGTGGGGCCCTGTGAGGGCAGCTGTCGGCGCCAACTCTCCCCTAATGCCCGGAGCCCTGCGGACAGTCTGGCTCCGGTAAGTGGGAGGAAAGGCAGCGGGAGAGGGTTGGGCACCAGACACATGGGGGTGATTAAGGTGGAAGGGCCATTCTCACCCAACCTCTTCCTTCCTCTTTCTCTGCTCTGTGTCCCTCCAGAGTTATCTGCAGAGTCTTCGAGACCGCCAGGTGGGACCAGGCACCCAGGCCACGGCCCCTCACCCCACCCTGGACCTGGATTCTGACTGTGGATCCACTGTGCCTCTCACAACACCCTGTGACTCCACCCAGCCCTGACCTTCAGCCTCTACTCCTGTCCCTACCCCTAGAAAGGGCCCGGGAACCCTAGGTGGGCAGCACCTGAGCACACAGATCCCACACACAAACTTCCCCAGCTCTTGGAAGAGGGACTGGCATCGATGCTCTAACCCACCAGCTCTGAAAGGATATATTTCTGGGATGCGTAGGAATATTGCAAGGAGGAAAGGAATGCTAAGCAATGGAAATATGACCAGTAACAGAGAGGCCCTCGTGCCCCTAAATTCTCTCCAAACCAAGGAGGACCTTTGCCTCTTTAAATACCTATTTCACCGTGCCTTGCAGTGGTAAAACAAGAGGTTTGGTTTCGTATAGGAATTACAGAAAATCTGGGGACTTCCTCAGCCATTTGAAAGCTTTTTGGTGGGAAGAAGGACACAGTGGAGTTCCAGGACCCCCTAACCTCTAGGCCTCCCATGAGGAGGCTGTTGGCTTTCTTGTTAGCCTTTCACCCTGCACCCCCATAGGTTTGAGCCCCTCCTCCTACCTCAGTTGGGAGCACTACCCTCTGTGGTGCCTCCCTTTCTCTCCTTCCCAACTAGGGAAGAGCACAGAGCCAGGCCTGCCTCAGCATCCACCTGCTCCTTCCTGTCCCAAGGAGAGAACATGAGCTCACATGCCAGACTGGCCCTTGTTCCCCAGGGAAACCTGGTCTTCAGGGTCTGCATGGCAGACAAGTGCCTTCTCCACCTCACAGTGGATGATACTAATACTTAACCAGAACTTGGTTACAGTCACTGGCCCATCCTAACTGCCTCTCTCGCCTAAGGTCCATTTCCCAAATCCCTAGACAGCATGAAGGAAGACTATAAGGGCAGCAAGGCTGTAAGGGGAGGGAGGAAGACCTTGAGAGCATTGAATAAAATGGCATTAAATACTGAACTGGGGAGTCTGGCCCCTGCTGTCACTGCTCTCTTCTCTCTGTGTACCCCAAAGCAAAGAGCCACATGGACAGATCTGTCCTTTACGGATTTAGTGGAAGTCCCCTAGCCTACTGTCAGAGCCACACACCAGACAGCAAAAGGAAAAGCTGGGCAATCCTCACTCACCCATCTCGGAGTCTGTCTTTATTAAACATCAATATGCCCAGCCCTCTGCCAGGGCCTTCATACACAGTATTTCATTTCATGCAACCACTCTGCAGGATTGGGAACTCCAAGGTTCACCAAGGTTAATTAGCTTGCCCAAAATCATAAGCAAGCAAATGGAATTCTCAAGGATTCCAAAGCCTTTGCTCATTTTATAGGCCATGTTCTTTCTCACACTGTGCAGAAGGGGAAACAAACATCCAGTCTTCCCAGCTGTTCCCACTTGTCAGTTACAGGCCTGGCTGACACGCCCCTCCACCATCGGCCTCCAGAGAGTAGAAGACACAGCCAGAAGCACTCTCTATTATGGGGAGGGAATAGACAGAGCTCAGGGAGCCAAGTCAAAGTAATGGGGAGAGAGAGCATGGAAGAGTTGTGGCTAGCAGTGGAACCGGGCCAAGGGTCCATGGTTTCCACACCTGGTGCAGTGCCTACATTGCTCAGTGAGCAGACCTTAGCTGTCTGGGTCAATGACATTGGGAGATAAGGCAAGAATGGGCGAGTCTGTGGCTGAAGGAGTCAAGCCCAAGACTGTGTCAGCGTTCAAGGTGGGGTCTGTGGCTGAAAGAGTAGTAGCCAAGGTTCTCTTCATGACTGAACCAGTGGTAACTCCACTTGAGAGGGTAGCATCCGGGGTCTGGGGGCGACAGTGCATCCAGTCGTGGGCAAGGCTTCTGGGGTAGCCTTTCTCCACCCGAAGCTGTTGATTGAGACGCCAATATTTTTTGCCCTTGAAGAAGTAGACTCGGCCATCATTCCTACTCACAGCAGCTGAGGGCTGGGCTGGCACTCCCGTAAACAAGCTTGAGATGGGTTTGGGATAACGGCTGAAGTCCACTGGAGCCAGCTCATCCCACTGCCAGTACCCTGAGCCCTGGTAGAGGGTAGGAAGGGAGAAGAGGAGGATGAGGAAGGCCCTCCAGACTCCCACACCACTCTACCCCCGGCTGCTGAAGATTTCCCTTCCACTGAGCAAGGCCGTGCCTCTCAGTAGAAAGCCCTATACCCTCCTCAGAAGGAATTCACACTGGCTTTGAACTTTATACCTTCAAGAGGAACACCTTTTTGTTGAAAGGCCAGTAGAAAGCCGCATCCAGGTTCGGTGCTATGTGATTCAACTTCTTGGGGAAGCCAGGAACCATCTTGAAATTGATGTAGAGCCACACTTTGTCTCCTATGGACAGTGAGGACAGAACAAATCCCCTGTGTCTCGGGGTGGCAGCTAGGCCCCTTGCATTCCGCTGTTTCCAACAGGTCTCCTCCTCCCTTTCCTTGGTGGGGAGGCCTTCTTAGGGAGACGCTCTTGTCAGCCCCCTTACCCTTGAAGAAGTAGATCCTCCGTGTTCGTGGGGAGTAGACGGCAGCATCCAGGTTTCCAGGAAGCCCCTCCCACAGGGCAGAGATGCGGAATAGGGGTCCCCGCCCTGAGTTGGTCACAGTCCACACATAGTCCCCTTTGAAGGCGTAAGTCTTTCCACCAGGCCCTGAGAGCAAAGTTGTAGCAATATAGCAAGGAGCCAGGGGTCAGATAGAGACTTGTGAGGCCTGGCACAATGGCTCCATTGGCTAATCCTGCCGTTGCAAGTACCGGGATCCCAAATGGGTGCCAGTTCATGTCCCAGTTGCTCCATTTCCCTCTTTATGGCCTGGGAAAGCAATAGATGATGGCCCAAAACCTTGGGACCCTGTACCCCTGAAGAGACCCAGAACAAGTTCCTGGTTCCTGGCTTCGAAAAGGCTCTGTGCTGGCCATTGCAACTACTTGGGGAATGAACCGACAGATGGAAGATCTTTGTCTCTCCTCTCTGTAAATATACCTTTCCAATAAAAATTTTAAAAATCTTTAACAAAAAATAGAGACATGGATGTCGCAGATCAACAGATCAGTCACCCTCCTTCCATGGACTGTTTCTTTCAAGATGAATCACTAAATGGTAATAATTCAGGGAAAAAATTGAAGGCCCAGGAGGCATATCCAGTACCCAGCCTCTCGTTATGCTCAGCACTTTAGCTCAAGTACATTCATCTAGATTCCCTGAGGATGGCTCCTCCTCCTCCAAGCCCTCCTGCTCTACTCCAAGTGGCTTCCAGTTTGCCCTCCAACCAAGCCCACAGCCTCTTGAATACAAATTCCCATTAATGTTCCCAAAACATCTGGCTGCATTTCCAGATGTTTTGGTGACTCCTGCCTGGTGGCAGCCTCCCTCAGTGCCCATCTGGCCTGCCTTCAGTCTGACTCTGTGCCACAACTTCCGCCTAGGGTCTAACCACCATTGCTCATGCTGAAGTCCCATATCATTCCCATTTGTCCAGGCTGGAGGGTCAGCAGGCTGTCCCCTACTGCCTGCCCTGGGGATCTGTGGGTGGGGAGGAAGACCTCACCTAGCATCACAGCATCCAGTTCACCATTGCAGGGGTCTGGCATGGGACTGGGCTCTGTGGGCACTGGGGATACAGTGGACAGCTCCAACTCTTCTTCCTCATCTCTGGTCTCTGGGATCTTCTTGCCTACAAGACATAATGCGGTACAGGGAGGGAACTCATAGCACCTGACCTCTCCACTTGCCCAGAGGACCCAGATATTGGGACAAATGGACTCCCTGGGTTTGCCTTGGTGGTAGGTGACATCACAGTGAGATCAGCAGGAGACACAGTGTACTTTGAGAAGCCCCAGAAAAGGGGAAGGAGGATTACTATAATGTGCATTCCCTAGCCCCAAGAACAGTGAGAGGGCAAGTAACCTGGAGGGAAGATAAGACATGGAAGAGTCAAAGAGAAGCACTTCCTAAAAGTGGAAAAGGCTGGGCTGGGGAAACAGACATAAATTACACCATTCCATCCCCCGACCCCTGAAGCTAGATCTGTCTCTTCAAGCCTGGAGAAATGCTGGTCAGACTGACTCTCAAACTCACTGTGGAGGAGGACTGACCATATAGAGCCTGGATCCCGGCCACATCATCCGGGTGCAGCTTGAAGTAGGGGTGGTAGCCAGCATAGATAGGAGCCATGAGAGCCTTGGTGTATCGGGAGTGTCCGAGCCCCAAGGCATGGCCCAGCTCATGAGCTGCAATGATGCGCAGGTTCACCCCTCGGTAGGTGCCTTCAGTCCAGAGCTCATCTTCATCAAAGTGCACGCTGCCCAACTCCGGGATGTCAGCATGGGCCAGGACTCGCCCTGGACAAAGACAAAATGGACAGGAAGGAGGTCAGGCACCCCAGATTGGATCAGACTCTTCTGTAGTCCTGTAGAATTCTCCCAGCTGTATTTCCTGTCTCTTGAGTAGCCTTTCTTCCTTTCAGATTCCCCTGTCTTCTCCTAGTTCTCTCAGGTATGCCCCGTACTCTCTCTCCTCTCTGAGGTCAAGGCACACATGTCAAAGAAAAGACCTGATGAGGCCCCAGCTACATAAACGATTACTCCCTTAGGGAATGTCAGAGGATGGTTAGAGCCTGTAGGTTGCAAGTGGACCTAGAGAAGCCGGGAGAACTAAGGTTCCAGACATCTGGACCCAAGAAGATCCAGGAAGTCTTAGCAGTCTAGGAAGTAGACACTGAAAACTGGTGCCTACCGGGCCCATCAAAAGTGTTGGAGCAATACAGGCTCTGGCGGCCATGGAAGGAAAGACGGATGTCAGCCCAGCCAGTCTTCACCTCCTGGAAGGTCAGAGGGGTTACGTCACTCCAGTACTGGAAGGCTTGCAACAGGGCTGCCCGGGTGACATGGGATGGGAGGGTGGAGGGCAGGTTCAGGATGCGGAAGGTCAAATGCTTCTTCCCCCAGCGGCCTGGGTAAGGAACCAGAAAACAGATTAGAGGCACAGATGCCTCTGACATCGCTGGAGCTCCCTGGACCTGGGCATTCACAATCGCTACAGACAGATGCCAACGCAGTCAGTATTAAACTGTCCCTGGATATCCCAAAGCTACCTGTACTCCAGGGTGACACCACACTCCCATTGCTCTCCCTTTCTCCACCTCACTTCTCACCTAGAAGCAGGTACTTAAGGGACTTCTGGTTGAAGGGGTCCGCTAGGCCACAACGAGGCTGCCTCATACGGGCCCTTGTGGCATCATCCAACCGCCCTGAGACTGGCAGCTCAGATGCTCGCTGAAAAGCTCTGGAAAGAGAGGGAGAGAGAAGAGCCTACTGAAGCAGAGGATCCTGCCAGAGTGGGACCTGGGAAAAGCCCTCAGGCCACCTGCTGCCCAAGACAATGGCCAGGTCTCACAAAATCTCTAAAGTGGATGGGTCACCCCAGGCCTCAGCCCTGAGAACTGGAACTTGCTCTAGTGTTCCTCAGAAATGACAGCCAAGGCCCGGCGACATGGCCTAGCGGCTAAAGTCCTAGCCTTGAATGCCCTGGGATCCATATGGGCGCCGGTTCTAATCCCGGCAGCTCCACTTCCAATCCAGCTCCCTGCTTGTGGCCTGGGAAAGCAGTCGAGGATGGCCCAAAGCTTTGGGACCCTGCACCCATGTGGGATACCCAGAAGAAGTTCCTGGATCCTGGCTTCAGATCGGCATAGCATCGGCCATTGCGCTCACTTGGGGAGTGAATCATTGGACGAAGATCTTCCTCCCTGTCTCTCCTCCTCTCTGTATATCTGACTTTCCAATAAATAAATAAAAGAAAAAAGAAATGACAGCCAGCCTGCAGCATTACCCCCCCACCACCCAGTGTCTCTTGTTTGAGGGACATTGTCCCCAGGTGCAGTATTCTCTGCCCTGCCGTACCTTCTGGCTGTTGGCTTTGGGGAAGCACCTGTCCCAGTGCTCTGGAGATTGTCCCTATGTTGACCCATCCTCTCTCAGCCTTCGTTTTTGGAAGAACCCACCTCCCAACCTATCCAGCTCCCTGGGCAAATGTAATCCACCCTTGGACCATCTGAGGTCCTGGGGATTTGCAAGGGATCTGGATGTGTCTAAGAGCAAGAAGAGAAACAATTTGCTGCAACCCAAATATTGAGGAACACTACAAAACAGGAATGAGCAAATGCTGAATTCAGTGTGCATCAGATCAACGACTCAACTCCCAATTTTACCGATAAATTATACTTCATGTGGACCATAATGAAATGTTAGCATTTTGCACATAAGGTGGGGTGCAGGCTCCAAAGGAGTACTTAGAGCCTGGGAAGATCCACCAGTTGTGTCACAGCATCATCTCAGCCCACCACCCTAGCAAGGGTACTTTGACGTGGATTGAGGTCAGGTAGAGGTAGGCCTGGGGAGGGGTGGATGAGATGAAGGAAGGCAGCCTTGCCACCGCAGCTCTGAACGCATGCGCTGATGACCGCTCACCTCAGAGCCTCCGTGATATCTTCTGGCCTGAAGACATGAGGTCCTTCTAGAGGCTTCTGTAGATACTCATATTGAAACAGGTATTCCTATGACGTGAGTGGAAGTGAGCAGAGTGAGAAGGGAGGTAACCTTAGTGTCAGCTTCTAAGGGACCTGAGGAGAGGCCCATCAGAAGGAAAGGAGAGAGGTGGAGAGGGAGGGGCATCTTAGAGCTCAGGTGGAATGTGGAGAAGGAGGAGATGGCTGGGGGCAGAGCCTACTCCAGTGCAGGGCACCAGGGGTTGAAGGTCAGCAGGAAGGCTAGGACAGGACTAGGAGGCAGTGATCCCTGTCTCTGCCCTAGCCCGGGGCCCCCTTTCCCCAGGGACTCACCAGAGCTGCCTCTTCTGCAGGCGTCAGGGCCTGGCCTGATATTGTCATGGGGAACAGGAAGTTCAGCCACAGCTTCTGCCAGTTCATGATCCAAGCAGACAGGAGCTCCAGAGGCTAGCCGTGACCTTGGACCTAAGATTTCCAGGAGCCTGCGGATCCTGGAGCAGGGCTAGACGGTAGGACCCTCACCTCCAGGTCTTTTCCCTGCCAGCCTCTGGTCCTCTTTATGAAACTGCAGCTGAGGGGAATGGGGGGGCGTGGCGGGGGGAGGTGACTCAGCCCTCCGATGTGTTGCAATTCATTAACCCCTGCCCTACTGGACAGCGGAAACCAAGAAGAACCCCCATTGTCCTCCTCTGAGTCCTCTGCTGATGACAAGAACGGGACATCCGCCCCGGGGGTGGCCATCCTGGCAGAATGAGAAGCAGAATCTCTGGAAAACCTGAGGATACAAACCCTAGTAAAGTCCTGGAGCTGGATATTCCAGGACCCCCAGGACCTGGGCCAGCTAGTCCCTTACCTTCAGCATTACAGTCCACCTGCCTTCTCTAGCAAAGGAAGAAATACAAGCATACTTCAAAAAAGCTCAAGCACAGAGAATGATAACAAACTGTAAATTTCTCTAAAACACCTTGAAGAGGGGCAGGTTAAACCACCACCTATAATGCAACATCCATGTGAAAGGGCTGCTTTGAGTTTTGACTGTTCTACTTAAAAAAAAAAAAAAAGATTGATTTATTCTTACTGGAAAAGCAAATGTACAGAGAGGAGGAGAGAAAGAGAGGAAGATTTTCCGTCCGATGGTTCACTCCCCAAACGGCTACAACAACGGCCAGAGCTGAGCCAATCCATAGCCAGGGGCTAGGTGCTCCTCCTCCAGGTCTCCCACACAGGTACAGGGTCCCAATGCTCTGGGTCGTCCTCGACTGCTTTCCCAGGCCACAAGCAGGGAGCTGAATGGGAAGCAGGGCCACTGGGATTAGAACCAGTGCCCACATGGGATCCTGGGCGTGCAAGGCGAGGCCCTTAACCACTACACCATCACGCCGGGGCCCCCCAACTATTCCACTTTTGACTCAGCTTTCTGCTAGTGCACCTGAGGAGAGTGGTAGAGGGTGGCCAAGTGCTGGGGCCCCTGCATCCATGTGGTAGATCCAGAAGGAATTTCAGCCTCCAGGCTTCTCCCCGAACCAGCCATAGACATTAAGGCCATTTAGGAAATAAATCAGCAAATGGAAGATCCACGTTCATTCTCTCTCTGTCTCTAACTCTGCCTTTCAAACCAATCAGTCATTCAAAAAAGTTTATGGTGATGGGCTTTTCACACAGCATTTGGAGTACCACTTCTTTTAATTTTACTTTTCATGAACTAAAAAATATCCTATTCTAGCCTTTCTGCTAACCTTCAACTTGCGTATCTTTCCTTGTGCCCTTGTTACTTTGCTTAATTTGAAAATTGGACAGGCAGGTGCTGTGGCATAGGAAGTTAAGCTTCCACCTTCGGCGCTAGCATCCTATATGAGCACCGATTTGGGTCCCGGTGGCTCCAGTGCTAATTCCTGCTGGTGGCCTGGAAAGGCAGCAGAGGATTGCCTAAGTCCTTGAGTCCCTGTACCCATGTGAGAGACTCAGAGAGATCTGGGCTCCTGGCTTTTGGTGGGCCAGCTCCAACCTTTTCAAAATAAATTCTTTAAAAAACGTAAAATATTTTGTTCCAAAATGTTTTTTAAAAGTATTTATTTCTTTTTATTTGAAAGCCAGATACACAGAGAGGAGGAGCAACAGAGAAGATCTTCCATCTAATAACTCATTCCCCAAGTGGCAGAAACGGCTGGAACTGAGCCAATCCCAAGCCAGGAGCCCGGAGCCTCTTCCAGGTCTCTCACGTGGGTGCAGGGTCTTAAAGCTTTGGGTCGTCCTCCACTGCTTTCCCAGGTCACAAGCAGGGAGCTGGATTGGAAGTGGAGCTGCCAGGATTAGAACTGGCAACTATCTGGGATCCCGGGCACGTGCAAGGCAAGAACTTTAGCCGCTAGGCTACTACCCTTGGCCCCAAAATGTTTTTTTCTTTCTAAGACTCATTTTTATTTTTATTGGAAAGGCAGATTTACAGAGAGGAAGAGAGACAGAGAAACATTTTCTGTCCGCTGGTTCACTCCTCAAGTGGCCATAATGGCCGGAGCTGAGGCAATCTGAAGCCAGGAGCCAGGAGCTTCTTCCGAGTCTTCCTCGTGGGTGCAGGGGGTGCCAAGGCTTTGGCCTTTCCTCTACTGCTTTCCCAGGCCACAAGCAGGGAACTGGATGGGAAGTGGGACAGCCAGGACACAAAGAAGCACCTATGTGGAAAGCCAGTGCTTTCAAGGGTAGGACTGGCTAATTGAGTCATCACACCAAGCTCAGCACAAAACATTTTTAAAGATGTATTTTATTTATTTGAAAGGCATAGTGATTGGAACAGAGACACAAACAGGGAAAGAGATATACCCCAAGATTCCCTCTCCGGAGGGCTGCAACAACTGGGCCGCGTCAAAAGCAGGAAGCTTTAATTGCGCCCATGCCTCTCACAAGGGTGACAGGGCTCCAGGTGTTTGGGCCACTTTCTGCTGCCCAGGCACATCAGCGGAGAGCTGGATTGGAAGTAGAACAGCAGCCAAGACTCAAACTGGCACTCTGGTATGGAACACTGGCATCAAAAGCCATGGTTTAACCCACTGTGCCACAATGCAGTCCCTAAATGCAAAACATTTTGTGGGACAGGCATTTGACCTGACACTTAGGATGTCACTTGGGATGCCTGTGTGTTTGAGTTCAAGTCCTGGCTCTCTTCTTGAGGCAGCTTTCTGTTTATATACATCTTGGAAAAGTTGCTGACTTTTAGTTACAGTCTGGTCCAGCCCTGGCTGCATCTGGGCAGTAAACCAGAGGATGGGAGTTCTTTCTGTGTGTCTGTGTCCCTCCATCTGCCTTTCTAATAAAAAAAATGATTGGAGATTATTGATATAGTTACTTGTTCCAATAGGAACTTTGTTCTATGAACTTTTTGAAGTTCTCTTGTAAAGTGTTCATGTGGGAGGCAGCAGAGATAACTTGATGAAGAATCTACTTTTTTTTTTTTTTAAGATTTACTTATTTTTATTTCAAAGTCAGATATATATAGAGAGGAGGAGAGACAGACAGAAATATCCTCCATCCGATGATTCACTCCCCAAGTGACCACAACGGCTGGTGCTGTGCCGATCTGAAGCCAGGAGCTCTTCCGGGTCTTCCACGCAGGTGGAGGGTCCCAAGGCTTTGGGCCATCCTCGGCTGCCTTCCCAGCCCACAAGTAGGGAGCTGGATGAGAAGTGGGGCCACCGGGATTAGAACCGGCGCCCATATGGGATCCTGGTGTGTTCAAAGCGAGGACTTTAGCTGCTAAGCCCTACACTGAGCCCTAAATCCACTTTTTTACATGAAGAACGAGTTAGGAGTTTAAATGCTCTTGATGTCCATTTAGATCTACCTTAGGAACTCCGCGTTTCTAGGAGTTAAGGTACTCAGAAGGTACTTGTGGCGGGTGTAGGACACGTTCAACAAGGACACAAAAAAGATCTCATAGCGTGTCTGTCTTCTGGGAACTTCCAGACAGGGAGAAGCATGCCCAGGCATCTGCAAAGCAGGAAGTCAGAAGCAGAAAGTGAGCCATCCTTAGGTTCCCGGGACTATGGGCAGCTACCCCTGCAGGCAGCCTGGCAGTCAGATGGCATGAAGGGGTTTTAAGGGTAGGGTCAGGATGGAGCTAGGCCTAGCCCAGTGCGATGGCTCCATGGCTAAATCCTTGGCTTACATGTGCTAGGATCCCATATGAGTGCAAATTCACATCCTAGCTGTTCCACTTCCCTTCCAGCTCCCTGCTGCGGTCTGGGAATTCAGTAGAGGATGGCCCAAAGCCTTGGACCCTGCACCCACGTGTGGGAGACCTGGAAGAAGCTCCAGGCTTTGGATTGGCTCAGCTCTGGCCTGTTGTGGCCACTTGGGGAGTGAATCAGAGGAATAAAAATCTCTCTTGTTTTCTGTAAACCTCTCTTTCCAACAAAAATAAATAAATATTAAACAGAAAGGAAGAAGAGAGAGAGAGAGAGAGAAAGAAAGAAAGAAAGAAAGAAAGAAAGAAAGAAAGAAAGAAAGAAAGAAAGAAAGAAAGAAAGAAAAAAAAAAGAAAGAAAGAGAGAGAGAAAGAAGAAAGAATTTGATAAATTAATGACAATGCTAGAAGAGTGGTGGGACCCAGAATTTCGAGAGGGCCTTGAATGAAATGTAAGAGGAAAAAAACACCTGCTATAGGGACAGGCGTTCGGCACAGCAGTGAAGACTCCACAGGGCACACCTATATTCCACCTCAGATTGACTGGGCCTGAATCCAGCTCTGCCTCTTATTCCAGCTTTCTGCTAATGTGCACTGTGTAGGGCTCCAGTGGCCAGGTCCCTCCAGACCTGGAGTAACTGCCCGGCTCTCAGCTTCCACCTGGCCCAGCCCCAACCACAGTGACCGTTTCAGGGTGTTAATCCCTCTCTCTCTCTGTCTCTCTCTCCCCCTCCTCCTGAAAAATAAATTAAAACATCTTAAAAATACCTATTATGTACTGGATGCTTTATATATTATTCTTTTCTCATAATCAACCATGATGTAAAGAATTTCTCTGATTTTTTAAGATTTATTTTATTTTTATTTGAAAGTCAGACTTACATAGAGAAAGGAAGACAGAGATCTTCCATCTGCTGGTTAACTCCCCAAATGTCTGCAGTGGCTAAAACTGGGCTCATCTGAAGCCAGGAGCCTGGATCATGGAGCATCTCAAGTCTCCCACATGGGCCAGATGCATTAGCAAGGAGCTGAATCAGAAGTGGAGGAGCCAGGACAGAAACCAACACCCATACAAGATGCTGGCACCACAGGCAAATGCTGTACGCCATGGCGCCGGCGCCTTTCTTGCTGGTTTTTTGTTGTTGTTGTTGTTTTGTTTGTTTGTTTGTTTTGTAAGAGAAAATGGAGACCCAGAAAGGAAGAACCAAGGACGTGGAGCTTCTAACTGATCTGACCCATATTCAAAATCCCTGTGGTGATCCCACCATTCATGCTCCTTCCAGACCCCACTGACTCCCACAGCTTTGTTCTTTAAACTGGACACACTGAAAGCGCTACTATCATCCGTGCGTCATGCCACATATGATTCAAATGCATGGTGAAGTAAGCATAGGGGAA